CGCTGGGAGCGACTACCCAGACCAAAACCCGAGCCATCCATCTCAAGACCAACCGCTTTGGTGAAATCGCCATTCCCATCACCCACCATGGTCAGCTCTTCGGCGTTCGCGTTGTCGCCCCAGGCACCCATAACAAAGGCATCGTTGACGGACAAACAGACAATGTCATCCACACCTTTGGCTTTGATTGCGTCAGCGTTGACAACAAAACCCGGCAGGTGCGCTTGAGAACAGGTGGGCGTAAATGCACCTGGCACCGCAAATACCACAACTTTTTTACCTGCAAACAATTCATCCGTTGTGACTGGCGTGGGTTTACCGTCGCGCATGGTGTGCAGCGTCGCTGCTGGCAGTTTGTCGCCTTCTTTAATAGTCATAAAAATCCTTATAACGAGTTGAAATGAAAAACCAGGAACGATTGTGGAGACTGCCAGGTGCTGGGTCAATCGCTCACATCCGTGCATCCACTTCAATTCTGACGAACTGATTCAACCGTTTCTTCGATGGTTAGGCTATCACTATGAAAACAAAAACAATTTCCCTAGCCGAAGCTGACTGAAACCCCTAATATCGTGCACTGGCACACAAAACAGGCAAAACAGTTTGTCGGGCGTGACGCCGGACAATGCTTCCCCCCTCCATCTCGTTATGATGGTGGATTAGCGAATACCCAAACAATCTGAGATATGGACACTCACACACAGCTAAACGCCAAAATTACCGCGGTCATCGCCGTGACGTTATGCGTTGCTGTTGGGTGTTATGCGGGCCATGACAGTGTGGAGATACCACCGCCGGAACCTCCGCCAGAGGTTAATCTTGCAACGATCACACCACCGATTGTCATCAAAATTGAGCAGAATGCAGAGTGGCACAATTTAAATCCTTTGCAGGCGCCCGAACTCATCATTCAAGCCAACGTCGCCCCGCCTGTATTACCGCCGGTTGCGAGTCTTGATCTGGCCCCGAACGTGGCTGACGTCATTGCGGAAGACGTCGCAGCCAATGTCGACGATGTAAATGGCGTTGAAGTTGTTGAACTCATCACGCCTCCAGATGCTGCGATCCCTTCTTTCGCCGAAGCACAGATTGAGCGTGGTGTACTGCAACAAACCACCTGGACCGCAGGTGAAGCACTGCACGGCGCGCAAATACCCACACCGGTATTGGTTGCCAAAGGTGCGCAGGACGGTCCAACACTGTGCGTAACCGCCGCGGTGCATGGCGATGAACTCAATGGTATTGAAGCGGTACGGCGTCTGATGTATTCCATCGACCCGAGCAAATTAAGTGGCAAGGTCGTTGGTGTACCTATTGTCAACCTGCAGGGATTTCAACGCCACTCAAGATATCTGTCAGATCGGCGCGACCTGAACCGCTTCTTCCCCGGCAATCCAAGAGGCAGCTCTGCCTCACGGATGGCGTATAGCTTTTTTAACAACATCATCATGGACTGCGATGGCCTGGTCGATTTACACACCGGCTCATTTCACCGCACCAACCTGCCGCAACTGCGGGCGGATCTGAATAACGCCGACGTGCTTGCACTGACCAAAGGCTTCGGTGCAACCGTGATCCTGCACAGCACCGGCGGCGAAGGCACCCTGCGGCGCTCAGCCGTTGATGCAGGCATTCCTGCGGTAACGCTTGAAGCTGGTGAACCCCTAAGGCTGCAGGAAGATGCTGTCGATCATGCGGTGCGTGCACTTTTCACGCTGCTCGATACGATGCAGATGTACAACAAACGTAGTCTATGGGGCAATCCTGAGCCGACCTACTACAGCTCAAGCTGGGTTCGAGCAGATAAAGGTGGCCTGCTGATGTCCGACGTACGGCTCGGTCGGAAAGTAAAACAAGGTGACTCACTGGGTACGGTTACCGACCCTATCACCAATGAGCAGGTGCAGATCACCGCACCTTACCCTGGACGTGTCATCGGCATGGCACTCAATCAATTTGTGATGCCCGGCTTTGCAACGTTTCATATCGCAACCGAAGGCGCGCTGGACAATCCCAGTGAAGACGACCACTACCATTCTGAAGGTATCGATGTGGCGGTGAGCGAATCTATGGGTACAGACGAATCCTAGTAAGATCCGGCGACGTCTATCGCCACGCGAATTCCGGTTGCTCGTAATGGTCCACCCGGGTATCCCTCCCAGCCAGACATACTTCGCAGAACTGATAAATCAAAGCCGCTGTTGGTGTTGCAATATAGTCTGAACCCACCGGCATCCGCAGTATCGGGTGATCGCTGGTTTCTGTCTGTTCAAAGCTGGGCGCGTCATCACGCAGGAACTCTGCCAGCGGAATCCGATGAATGCTCGCCACCTCAGCCGGGTTCGGCTCTGCTTGCACCCCCGCCCCCGCCCAGACCACAACGGGTGTCATGGCAAATCCGGAGCGGGTGACAAAATCATCCAGCACGCCTAACACCTGATCTGCTTCGAGTGCGAGATTGATCTCTTCGTGCATTTCCCGCAGCGCTGTTTCAATTAGCGTCTCCCCTGCATCTACACGCCCACCCGGGAACGCCCATTGCCCGGGATGATTACGCAGCTGGGCAGAGCGCCGCGTCAGCAGAAGTGCCGCATCGTTGGACCAGTCCTGCGGATTATCCAGCCCATCCAGATCCGCACCTCGACCCACATCAGCGATTGTGATGGCAACGGCTGCGCGTCGCAGGGATTTATCCGCGGCTACCCGCGGTTCAAATTGAGTGAGATTCTGCGCGATCCGCGTGCGTAGAGCATTGTCACAACGCATACTCATTTTTCCTTTTTAACTTGTTATGGACTGTAGAGGTTCTGATCTCGGCATGGAAGTGAGTGCGCATAACGAACGTTCGGCGTTGACCTACGCGGTGCTAGCCATTGTGCTGTGGTCAACCGTTGCAACTGGCTTCAAGCTGGGCCTCGCAGTCATGGCAGTAGAGCAGCTGCTGTTGCTCGGCACGCTGATTTCATGGTGCGTATTCGCGATCTACTGCGGTATCAGAGGCCGGTTTTTCATCACACGACAAGATCGGCTGTGGGTGCCTGTGCTCGGCTGTCTCAACCCTTTCACCTACTATCTTCTGCTGTTTGCCGCTTATGACCGACTCCCCGCCCACGTTGCCCAGCCGCTTAACTATACCTGGGCCATCACCCTGGCCCTGCTTGCTGTGCCGGTCCTAAAACAGAAGCTAACCCGAGGCACAATAATCGGTATTGTGGTGTCTTACAGCGGCGTTGTACTGCTGCTCAGCGGTGCCAACGAGGCTAGCCCCGAACAGCTGGATGGTGTGGGCATTGTGCTGGCGTTGCTCAGTACAATACTGTGGGCAACGTACTGGCTGATCAGCACGCGCTGCAGCAGCGACGCAGGTGCCATGATGTTCTGGAGCTTCAGCTGCGCCGTGCCGCTGGTTGCTATGGCCTGTGCAGCCGGCCCGGGATGGCCGGAATGCACGCTCACAAACCTGGTTTATGGCAGCTGGGTGGGCGTTGTTGAAATGGGCGTCACCTTTCTGCTCTGGCAACAGGCCCTCAGGCACACCCGCAGTGTTGCCCGTATCGGCCAGCTTATCTTCATATCACCTTTTTTATCCCTGCTGCTGATCAACCAGGTGCTCGGCGAAGTGATTTCCTGGCAGGCCGTAGCCGGACTGGCCATCATTATCTTCGGGTTGGTGTTGACACAACCTGCCGAGTCTAACTGACCAAATTGTGAACTGGCGCCCCGCCTGTTATACAAAGTGCGCTGCGGCTTAACTTCAGCCCCGGAAACCGCTAAGCTCCGCCGCCGCTATCAACGTACGGAGTACTGACGTGGACATAAATCTAAGCCAACAGGACCTCGAGTTTCGCACTGAAGTTCGCGAATTTTTATCTGGCAACGCCTACAAAAATGGCGAGGACTACAACGCCTGGCGTATGGACTGGTTTAAAAAAGCACGGGAAAAAGGCGGTTGGGACGTCCCTAAATGGCCCACAGAATTCGGTGGCCCGGGCTGGACGCCCACCCAGCATTACATCTGGGAGCAGGAAACCGCGGAAATCGGCACACCTTTTGACCTGCCGTTTGGTCTGGGCATGCTGGCGCCGGTATTGATGAACTACGGCAGCAAGGAGCAGCAGGACAGATTCCTGCCGGACATCCGTGACCGTAAAGTGAACTGGTGCCAGGGCTACTCCGAACCTGGTGCAGGGTCGGATCTGGCCAACCTCAAAACCAAGGCTGAGCTCACCGCTGACGGCAAACACTACATTGTCAACGGCACCAAGATCTGGACCACACTGGCACACATCGCCGACTGGATCTTCTGCCTGACACGGACCAGCGATACCGGTAAAAAACAGGAAGGCATTACTTTTCTGCTGTTTCCGATGAAACAGGAAGGCATAGAAGTGAAACCGATCATCACTCTGGGTGGCTCTCACACCGTCAACATGGTGCATTTCACGGACGTCAAAGTACCAGTTGAGAACCGGGTCGGTGAACAGGATAAAGGCTGGACCTATGCAAAAGGTCTGCTGCAGCATGAACGTACAGGGTTGGCCGGTATTTCCCGCTCGATCGTGGCGCTGGAAAAACTCAAAGAGCAGGCGACCGCGGTTAAGCGTGGCAACGGCACTCTTATGGACGACCCGGCTTTCCGCACCAAGGTGGCTGAGCTTGAGGTAGACCTGATGGCGGTAGAATTCACCGAGCTGCGGTCTCTGGCGGCCGCGGCCGGTGGCGGCGAACCGGGACCGGAATCGTCCATTCTCAAACTCAAAGGTACCGAGATACAGCAACGTATCCAGAAACTCACCGTCGAAGCGGGTGGTATTTTTTCTGCCGCCTGGGGCGCGATACCGGTAGGCCCACATTTTGCCAGAGGTGGCATGTCCGGATACCTGTCCTCCCGCGCCTACACCATTTATGGCGGCGCCAGCGAAGTACAGAAAGACGTTGTCGCGAAGAACGTCCTCGGCATCAAAAAATCCTCCAAGTAGCAAGCAGCAGGAATCAGATCAATGAACTTTGACTTATCAGAAGAGCAACAACTGGTACAGGACAGCGTGGCGCGATTTATCCAGGATAACTATGGCCTGGAAGCACGTCAGACAACTGTTGCCAGCAGTGATGATTTCAACAAGAAACACTGGGCCACAATGGCTGAACTGGGCTGGCTGGGTCTCACCCTGCCCGAAGCCCACGGTGGCTTTGGCGGCAATCAGATTGATGCCATGGTCATTATGGAACAGTTCGGCAAAGGCCTGGTGCTGGAGCCCTTTTTCGCCAGCGTTGTGCTGGGTGCCAGGGCACTTTCACTGGCGGGCACTGAAGCACAATGCAGCAGGCTGTTACCTCGCGTCATTGACGGCAGCCGACAGCTGGCTTTGGGTTATGCTGAAGAGCAGGCACGCTTCGATATGCACGATGTCGTGACCCGTGCACAGGCTGATGGGGATGGTTTCATCATCAACGGTCGTAAGTCGATGGTGCAACATGGTGGCACCGCCGACCAGATCATCATCAGTGCACGCACATCCGGTGGCCAGAGCGATACCAACGGCATTTCACTGTTCATCATCGACGCCAACACCGATGGCCTGACGGTGACCGGTTTTCCAACCGTAGACGGCCTGGCCGCCGCCGAGGTGGAACTTAAAGACGTATCTGTCAGCGCTGATGCCCTGCTGGGCGAATTGGACAATGGCTACAGAATACTCGAAGCAGTGGCCATTGACGGCATTCTGGCCATCTGTGCGGAAGCTGTTGGTGCGATGGAAATGCTTTACAAAGATACCGTGCAATACACCCAGGAACGCGAGCAGTTTGATCACGCTCTGGCTGAATTCCAGGTACTACAGCACCGCATGGTCGAAATGTTCATGGAATACGAACAGTGCAAATCACTTCTCTATCGCGCCACGCTGGAAGTGGTACAGAACGGTTCTGATGCGCTGCGAACGGTGCACGCACTGAAACACTTTGTCGGCAAGACCGGTATTTTCATCGGCGAAAACGCCGTGCAGCTCCACGGTGGTATGGGCGTCACGGAAGAGCTGCGCATTGGACACTACTTCAAGCGCCTGCTGGTGATAGATGCACAGTTCGGCAATTCCGACTACCATCTGCAGCAATTCGCCGCATGAGTGATTGAGCTACGCTGATCTGCGGCAGCCACATGGGAGTTGAGGGAGACAATGAATGGCGCTGGCAATTAAAGATAAAGTGGTACTTGTCACAGGCGGAGCCCGCGGCATTGGCGCGGGCATTGTCGCCACCTTAAGTGACGCCGGTGCTCGGATCATGGTTGCCGACATCGGCATCCAGAACAGTTCCGCTAACGAGTGGAATTACGCACTGGCAGGTGAAGACGAGATCGATCAGCTGCGCAAGCGCCACCCACAGATTGGAACCTGCCACGTAGACGTCACAGACCCTGAGAGCTGTGTGGCAGCCGTGCAGACAACTGTCGATCAGTTCGGTCAACTGGACGTTCTGATCAACAACGCAGGTATTGTCGACAGCGGCCCTATTGAAACCTTCAAGGTAGACGTCTGGGACAAAATATTTGCGGTGAACAGCAAAGGCATTTTCCTGATGGCACAGGCTGCCCTGCCTCATCTGCGTAAAACAGAGAACCCCTGCATCGTCAACACAGCGTCTATAGCGGGCAAACAGGGATATCCCAACATGGCGGCTTACTGCGGCTCAAAATTTGCCGCCATCGGCATCACCCAGTCACTTGCAGCAGAACTCGCGCCGCAAAACATCAGGGTCAACGCAATCTGTCCGGGCATGGTTGGCACTGCCATGTGGCTGGAGCACCTGTTACCCAGCAATGCAACCAGTGACAGTCAGAAAGAAGCGGAATTTACTGAAAGCATGGCGCAGACCATTCCTCTGGGCCGACCACAAACCCCTGAAGATATGGGGGATGCGGTCCTGTACCTGATCAACGCGGTAAATGTCAGTGGCGTTGCGCTGTCCGTGGCTGGCGGCTTCGAGATGCAATAGCTTTGACCTGGTACAAAGACCCCCTGCTGTACTTTCTGCTGATCGGCGCAGCCATCTATGCGCTGTCGCTATGGGCGCTGGGAGAGGATGAAGCGTACCAGATTGTTGTCGGCAAACAGGATCTGCAACGCCTGAATGATCAATGGTCCATGCAGATGCGACGCCCACCCTCGGAACAGGAACTTGCCGGGCTGGTTGAACAGTTCATCAAAGAAGAGATTTATTATCGAGAAGCCATGCGCCTGGGACTGGACGCCAACGATACGATTGTGCGCCGCCGTATGGTGCAGAAGCTGACCTTTCTGACAGAAGACATTGCCACGTCGGCAACCTTCTCTGACGCTGACCTGCAGAATTTCTACAACGACCATCTCGATAATTATCGGCTGGCCGAGCGCTTCAGCTTCAAACATCGCTACTTTTCTGTGGACCGTCGCGCCGATGCCCGTGCTGACGCAGCCGAAGCGTTACAGAACCCTGCGATCGGCGGCGATCCGTTTATGCTGCAACGCGAATACGCGTTGCGATCAGAACGTGAAGTAGGTGATCTGTTCGGACGCGATTTTGCTGCCACACTTGCAACACTTACCCCAGACGAAGCATGGCAGGGGCCTGTGCAATCTGCTTACGGGTGGCATTTGGTGCTGTTGATCAACAGAGCACCAGCAACCGTACAGGCTTTTGCCGATGTCCGAGAGCGCGTTCTGAATGACGCCCAGCAGGCCGCACGTGATACCGCCAATACCCGCTATTATGAAGATCTCCGCAGTCAGTACAGTATTGTTCACGCTGATGCGGACAATTAGCCGATATTGCCTACACTTTCTCCTGCTGGCATTGCCTACTCTGGCAAGCGCACATGAGGTGCGCCCTGCTTTCCTGCATCTGACGGAACTCGACACAGATACATCATCAGCACGCTTTGCCGTGTTGTGGAAACAGCCAGCGGTACAGAACGGGCGCCTGGCTATCACACCTGTATTCCCGTCACATTGTGAAATGGTTGAGCAATCGCCGCCGGAGGTCACACCAGCTGCCTATATCCAACGCTGGCAAACCGATTGTGATCTGACCAGAGACGCCATCCACATCGACGGCCTGTCAATGACCCTTACAGATGTCATGGTGCGCTACGACAGCGCCGATGGCAGCACCGCCAATTATGTATTGCGGCCGGAAAGCCCTACTCTGAACATCGCCACGGACATCCCAAGCACCCTGTCTTACCTGTGGATTGGTGTTGAACATCTTCTGTTTGGCCTTGACCACGTTCTGTTTGTGATCGGCCTCGTGCTGTTCATTCGAGCACCCTGGCCACTGCTTAAAACGGTCACAGCGTTCACTGTCGCCCATTCAATCACTCTGGCACTGTCGGTTCTGGGCTGGGTCAGGCTTGAGCAGGGCCCCATTGAAGCTATCATTGCGCTGTCCATATTGTTTCTTGCCCGTGAGTTAGTACAACCGCCCGAACAACGCTCCCGTCTGACTATGGCAAACCCGTGGATCATGGCCTTCGTTTTTGGACTGCTGCACGGTCTGGGCTTCGCCGGTGCACTCAGTGATGTTGGTTTACCCGACGACGATCTGTGGCTGGCCCTGCTGCTGTTCAATGTTGGCCTGGAAATGGGGCAACTGATGATCATCGTGATTGTGATGACCTGTATCTGGTTTGCGCGACGCTTTACTGCATTACCCATGGTCATCCGCGGTGGCGCATGGGGTATGGGCGCGCTGGCGGCTTTCTGGACCATAGACCGCACCATATTACTCCTGTAATTTAAAGAAACTGAGGGGAGGAATCTTTATGCCACTAAAATACATTTTCGCCATTGGCCTGATCGGCCTGCTGATCAACGGCTGCAGTGAGCAACAAGCTGCCGCACCAGAGGCTGCGCCACAAGCGCCTGCTGATTTCACCAATGCCTTTCGCCAGGCGCTGGAAACGGCACAACCCGGCGACGTGATTGAAGTACCAGCGGGGACTTACACGTTCAAGCGCTCGCTGGTATTGAATACCGATAACGTGACAATTCGCGGCGCAGGTATGGATCAATCGATATTGAGTTTCAAAGGGCAGATCGCAGGCGCGGAAGGCTTATCCGTCAGCGCCAGCAATTTTGTCATAGAAGACCTGGCCATCGAAGATACGGTGGGCGATGCATTGAAAGTCAACGAAGGCAACAACATCACCATTCGCCGTGTGCGCACAGAATGGACCAACGGTCCTGACGTTAACAATGGTGCCTACGGCATCTATCCGGTACAGACGACCAATGTGCTGGTTGAAGGAAATGTGGCTATAGCGGCGTCAGACGCGGGTATCTATGTAGGTCAGTCCCAGAACGTGGTGGTCCGTAATAATCGAGCTGAATACAACGTCGCGGGTATTGAAATAGAAAACACCATTGGCGCCGATGTTTATAACAACGTTGCCACCAACAATACAGGTGGCATTTTGGTATTCAACATGCCACAAATTCCCCAACGCGGTCATTCAACCAGGGTTTACAAAAACGAGGTGCATAACAACAACACCGCCAATTTTGCAGCGCCGGGCACGGCGGTTTCCGGTGTTCCTGCCGGCTCTGGTGTAATCATTAATTCCAATGACAAAGTGGAAATTTTTGATAACAACATCACCAACAACAATACCGCCAACATTGTGATCTCCAGCTACTTCAGTGCCAATTACGCAGGACAACGCGATCTGGCAGAAAACTTTGACCCCTATCCGGAAGACATCTTCATTTATGGCAACCTGTTTGAAGGCGGCGGGCAAGCGCCGGGCAGCAGTTACTTAACCGAAGTCAAAGACGCGGTGTACGGCTCTGATGGCGAATTTCCGGACATCATCTGGGACGGCATCATCAGCCCAACGCTGGCAGAAGGACAGGCTGTCATCTGCGTGCAGAACGGTGATGCGGAACTGTTGAATATCGATGCGGCTAATGAATTTGCTAATCCAAACGTTAATATGGGCAACCACGATTGCACCGTAGATAAATTGTCAGCAGTAACTCTGTCAATGGCCAACTGATCACAACTGAGCAATTTTAGTGGTTAACGGGTTTAAAGCAGTACCGTGCATTTTACTGATCTGGTTGCTGAGCAGCAGTTGCAGCGAGCAACCGGGTGTCAGTTTCTTTACCGCGGACCAATATCCGGACAATCTGTCCGCCTGGGGTTTGCTAAACAAACAGGCAAACGCGCTGGTCCCCGCTGAAGATACGCACATCTATGACCTGAACACCCCACTGTTCACAGACTACGCGCTGAAACTTCGCACCCTGTACGTTCCACCGACCCGCACCGCACAGTTTGAACCGTTTGACGCCTTTGTCCTGCCGGTGGGCAGCATTATCAGTAAAACCTTTTTCTACCAGCACAACGGCGACGGCGCGCTGATCCTAGATGCCGGTTGGGACGGCAATCCCGCAAGCCTGCAGATGGATAAGACCCTGCTGCTGGAAACCCGACTGTTGGTGAAGCAGAGTAATGGCTGGGATGCCCTGCCCTACATCTGGCGCGGCGACGACGCCTACCTTTCGATCACCGGCGACCTGCAGACGTTGTCTACCAGCAAAGGTGAGGTACTGAACTACCTGGTGCCCAGCCGCAACCAATGTGCTGGATGCCATGCCACAGACCATACTGCAGGTGATATCCAACCGATTGGGATCAAAGCCCGCCACCTGAATCGTGTAGATCCAATCCATGGTATCAATCAGCTCACCGCGTGGCAGGCAAGGGGTAATCTGGAGGGCATGCCGTCCTTAGATGCGGTGTTTGCCAATGCTGATATGAACTCGCAGCAGGCAGATCTGGATCACCGCGCGCGAAGTTACCTGGACATCAACTGCGGACATTGTCACAACGCATCAGGTGCAGCAGACACCTCCGGGTTGCTACTCGACTACGCAGATCACGATTTGAAGACTATGGGACAGTGCAAACCTCCAATAGCTGCGGGTCGAGGCTCTGGCGGACACCTTTACAGTATTGTGCCGGGCGCGGCTGACGCATCCATTCTGACTTATCGGATGAACACCACAGACCCAGGCACAATGATGCCGGAATTAGGGCGCACACTGGTTCACGCTGAAGGCCACGCATTAATTGCGCAATGGATAGATGCTATGGACGGGGTCTGCCTGTAGGGCTGGCAAACACAAACCGACGCATCATCAGAAAATTATGCGCCGAGCCCAGAAAAGATCCGACCACCAGCGCCCATAAAGGGCCCAACATGCCCGCCAACACCAGCCCGGAGTAAACCCCGAAGTTTATTGCAGAGCCTGCACACTGAATCAGAATATAGCGACTCTTGGAAGACTCTTTTATCGATGCTGTAAATGTATAACGCGCGTTAAGGATAAACGATACCGCTATGGTCACGATGAATGAACAAACCCGGGCAAGAATCGGCGGCACTCCGGCACCATAGACAAGCAACCAGAGCAACCCGGCATCAACGACAAATGCCACACCGCCAACCTGCAGAAAGCGAAACAGATGTTGGACCATAGGCGTTACGCAGACGGCTCTCAGGCAGCTTGTGCCCGACGCCTTTCAAGTTCAGCCACAATCTCTGCATGGCGTTTGCGATCAAGATCATATTTGGAGTAGCAATACGCAGAGACCAGCGCAAAACCGGAGACAATGGGCCCAAACACCAGGCCAAGCCAGATCAGGGTTTCTGGCGCCACATCCGCTGCGCTTTTAATCTCCGGACCTGTCGGCCAGGCAATCAGCGTCAAAGCCAGCCCGGCCACTGCCGAACCTAAACCGGTGGTCACTTTGTTTGAGAACGACACCGCCGCAAAAAACATGCCTTCCTGACGCTGTCCTGTGACCAGTTCCTGTTCGTCAACGATATCTGCAACCATTGATGAAAACGCAACCAATGCCTGTACAACGCCTACACCCTGCAGAAACTTGACCAGAATCAGGGTCCACAATAAAGATTCGCTGCCGTTCTCCGGAAACAAGCCCAACAATCGCAGCACAACGGGAATAACCTGACATGCGGCCCACCACAAGGTGCCAAACAGGATAAGGGGTTTCTTATCGAACCACTCAGTTAAACGCCGGGCAAAGAAAGTACCCAGCAACGCACCGATGGGCGTCGCCATAAAAAACAGCAGGTTGCCGCTACTCTGCAACTCCCAGAAATAGGTATTCATGTGCAGGTTCAGCGCCTGATCCACACCGACCATCATGAATACGACCAGCACACCGGTGAACAGCCAGCGAAACGATACATTCTTCAGTGCCTGTATCAATTCTGCAAAAGTCTGTTGCAGGGTATGCCAGACGCCCAGATAGGGACGTTGAACCGCTGGCTGCACCAGATAAGGAATACGGTTCTGGGTGCCTGCTGCTGAGTAAAGAGCCACCAGACCTATCAGTACCGCCAGGGTGACACCAAAAGGCAGGTAAGCATCCACATTGAACTGCCCATGGGGAAATTCTGCGCTGTCAGCAAAAAACAGGGTAAAACCGATAGCGTATGTGACCAGATGACCGATGTAACTGAAGAAGAAGCGATAGGCAACAATGGTTGTACGCTCATCGAAGTCCGACGACAGCTCTGCCCCAAGCGCCACATGCGGCACGTAAAACAAGGTGATCGACGCGCGCGTCAGCATGGCAAAAATAGTCAGCCACAGAAACAAGCCAAACTCGGGCAAATCCGGTGGGCTGAACAGAGCTATAAGACTCAGACCCAACGGCAGCACAGCGGCATAAAGAAAAGGATGCCGGCGGCCGTATTTGCTTTTCCAGTTATCCGACACTGATCCAATCAGAGGATCTGTCACTGCATCCAGAACCAGCGCCAGGAATACCGCTAGACCGGTATAGCTTGTCGATAACCCCAACACCTGGGCGTAATAGAAAAAGATAAAAACGTTAAAGGCACCATTCTTAATGCCTTCGGTAGCTTGACCTAAACCATAGCTTATTTTGGTCGAAAATTTCAGCGGAGGAATAACACTCATGACCGCAGTTTATAACGCATCACGGCCCGGGTAACATGCTTAATCACGCCAAATTGATGAAAAATTGGAGCACGTTGTGACTGAGCTAGCAGGCCTCGATGCAGCCCCGGTGATCTGTCCGGAGCAAACCGTTATAGAAGACTGGATCGATTACAACGGCCATCTGAATATGGCTTTTTACAACGTGATTTTTGATCGCGGCGTTGATCACGTCTATGACCTTCTGGGTATCGGCGCGGAATACGCCCAGAACGGTCAGGGTTCCTGCTTTACCATGGAAGTTCACCTGCACTACCTCAGCGAACTGTCGTTGGGTGATAACGTATGTGTGCACTTTCAACTATTGGACTACGACAGCAAACGGCTGCACTTTTTCGAACAGCTCTATCATCAGAGTGAGGGTTATCTGGCTGCAACGTCAGAACAGATAGGTATGCACGTAGACATGCAGACACGTCGTTCAGCGCCCTTTCCGGAGTCTGTTATTAAACGGTTGGAAAGACTGAAGCAGGCTCACAGCCCATTGGCCGTGCCCCCACAGGTGGGGCACGTTATCCAGATACCGAGGCGGTCTGAGACTTAGGGGCTAGTACCCTTCCAGTTCGCCGTAACGATTACGGTGATAGTTCACGTCGCCGAAAGTCTGTTCGGTGACCGCCGCGCGCTTGATGAAAAAACCGATATCAAATTCGTCGGTCATACCGATACCGCCATGCATCTGAATGCCTTCGCGGGATACCAGGTTGTAGGTCTCACCTACTTTAGCCTTGGTGAGGCTGGCAAGCTTCGCGATCTCCTGTGCGTCACGACCTTCATCCAGAGCGGTTAATGCTTCCAGTACACAGGATTTAGACAGCTCAATTTCACAGAACATGTTGGCTGCTCTGTGCTTCAGCGCCTGGAAGGAACCAATCGCCACGCCGAACTGTTTGCGCTCTTTGAGATATTCAACGGTACGTTCGAAACATTCCTGCAGGGAGCCGAGCATTTCCGCAGACAATCCGATACGCGCGATATCCAACGCGGGGTCGAGAACATCAGCACCTTTGCCCAGTTCACCGATAAGGGCATCTGCACCCACTTTCACTTCGCTGAACTCGATATTCGCAGCATTTCGTGCATCAGCCATCTTTGTACGGGTAACCGCTACGCCATCTGCGTCTGCGTCCACCAGGAACAGAGAAATGCCGTCTCTTGCACCGGCATCACCACTGGAACGTGCGACAACGATGAGCTTGTTAGCAACATGACCATCAAGAACAAATGTCTTGTTGCCGCTGATCGTATAGCCGTCGCCAGCACTCTTTGCGGTGGTGGCAATCTGATAAGGGGCGTGTCGATGACCTTCTTCCAAGGCCAGCGCCAGCAACAGTTCGCCAGCAGCTACCTGAGGTAATAATTCGGCTTTCTGTGCCTCTGAGCCACCCAGATTAACAACCGTGCCACCCACCCATACAGAAGCGTAAAGTGGGCTCGCCGTTAATGTTCGGCCGGTTTCTTCAGTCACCACGCCGAGGCCTTTATAACCAAACGCCAGTCCGCCGTGATCTTCACCCCATGGAATAGCTGCCCAACCCAGTTCTACCATGGAATTCCAGGTGCCCGTATCGAAGCCCTCCTGGACGTCTGCATCACGCAGACTGCGCAATTGCGCTATGGGTGCATTATTAGTGCAAAAGTCTTTTGCACTGTCTTTGAGCATGTTCTGCTCTTCGTTCAGGATCATTGGCATATTGGCTCCCCCAATCGTGCTGAAACCGCAGAATATCGCGGGTCGGAAAACCGCTAATAAAAGCATAAGAGACGGCTCTCTGTCGAGGCCTCCGCGCTTTTAAAAAGCGATCCCAGGGACTTTTCACAATCGTTGAGTGCTCGCCCTTACTTTTTACTTACATTCCATACATGGCCAATGCAGCAGGTTGTGATCTGGATCTCTATTATGAATCTGTACTTACGAGTTTGGCTTGTTGTGAAAACTACTCCGTTACTGGTTATTTTCCTTTGCACCATTCTCAGCGCCCGCGTAAGCGCTGAGAGCGCCGAGTCCATGCATGCAAGTACCATTTCCATGAGTGCGGTCAATCAGAGCGTCACTCAGGAGTCCACGATTGGAGGGTCTGCAGCAGAATCACTTGATACTGCTGCAGGCACCTTCGACTACAGCTATTTTCTTGTTTTAGGCTTGGGTATCGCCGGTTTATTCTGGATTCGCCGACAGAGCCAGTCCCTCTAGCAGCCCTCGCCTCGACATGCCAGATCCTCAAATCGCGGATCTCGAACTCGCGCTTCAATCCACGCTACCGATGGCGCACATCGAAGTATGCACACTACCAGGGCTGCCGCAGCTTCAACTTGCTCTGATTAATTCTGATTTCCCCACCGGCCCTCTGCCACCGAACGTAATGCACGATGTAATTGCTACCCCGGCGTACTGGGCTTTCTGCTGGGGCAGCGGACTGGCAACGGCGCAGTGGCTCGCGCAACAGCCACAGATTGTGAAAGACAAAAACGTCGTCGACCTGGGTTGCGGATCTGGCGTCGTTGCGGTTATGGCCAAGTTGATGGGCGCAAGCAGCGTCTGGGCTTGTGATACTGACCCGAACGCCCTGCTTGCCACCCAGGTAAACGCACAACTCAATGAAGTCGAAGTCATTCTTTCCGACCATCTTAGTCAGGTGCCTAACAACCTGGACCTGCTGTTTATGGCAGATGTTCTGTACGACCGAAGCAACTTCGCCCTGTTGTCTGCGGCAAAAAACAAAGCCACCCGAATGCTGATCGCCGATTCACGCGTCGATGATGTCAACGATCCGGATTTTGCTGTTGTGCATCACATGCAGGCGCTGACCTTCCCTAACCTGGGTGAGTTCGACGAGTTCAAAAACGTCTGCTTTTTTGAGTATAAAACCGCTTAACGCTTATCCGCACGACTGTAAACGGCCACCATGGAACGACGGGCTTTAGCGCCTGCAATGACCCGAGCCGTGGAGACCTCCGGATCACGCATCCAAACAAGCGCGTCCTGCGCTGACGGAAAATCCACCACCAGCAGCCGATCCCAATCCTGCTCTCGATGATAGATGTGAGCAGCTTCGTCCCAAACAACCTGACCGGTTGTCCCGGCAAGAGTTGCCAGCACAGGTGCCAGATTGTCGACCGATACATGATCGCTGTTGCGTACCAACCAGATAATTAAACCAGCTCGCCAACGAACCGGTTGGGCAGAAAAATGTCCCAGACTGAAGTTGCTCACCGACCCATTGGTAGCGATGAGCCGATAAGGTGAAGAAGTCATCACCTGCGCTATGTCCTGCGCCCGAGACAGATGGAAGTTGTTGAGGTGGCTCCACTCATCCGCACGGGAACCCTCTAAAAGCTGAACCAGTGTGTACGAGCCCACAGCGACCCCGCCTTCACTGGCAATCAACCCGGTTAACGGCTCCTGGTAATGACTGATCAGATAATTGTCACCCCGATGGTCTGTGGTTTTGGCGAAGTCCAGCAACAGATAGGGTTGATCGCGCTGATCATCCAATAGTGCAATTTGCACCAGCTGAGGGCCTATCCACCATGCGGCAATAGACAACACCGCTGCAGCACCAATCAGTGCCGCTATCATTAAACCTAAACTTTTCACTTTCTCAGCTCTACGGCCTCGCTCTGTCAACAACCCAGGGTTGCTTACGCCCCTGCAAAAAGCCGCAATCATACGCTCTTTTTAAGCAAACTTTATCCGTCGCCTGTAGATCAGAAACACCTGAGCCGTTAGGCTAAAGCGGCTTTAAACGACTTTGGGAGAGGGTTATGGCGGCTGTGCAATACGAAGAAATTCTTTATGAGGTGAATGACCCGGTGGCGGTCATCACCATGAATCGTCCGCAGGCACTTAATGCATTCACGAATCGCATGCTGGCGGAAATCAAACACGCACTGGCAACAGCTGAAGCAGATGAGGCGGTTGTTGGCATCATTCTCACCGGTGCCGGACGGGGCTTCTGTCCTGGAATGGATATGAACGCACTGGATAACTTAAGTACCGGCGACGGCGGTGAGCAGGATTTATCACACCTGAAATCAGATCCAGGTGATGCCTCCTTAGGAGACAACTTCAAAATCACCTTCAGCTATCTGCAGGCCATCCGCAAACCCGTGATCGCTGCTATCAATGGCGCTTGCGCTGGCCTGGGCATGGCCATTGCCAGCCTGGTTGATCTGCGCATCGTTGAGCGACAGGCAAAATTCAGCACTGCATTTTCTCAGCGGGGTCTGATTGCCGAGCACGGCATGAGTTGGACGCTGCCGAGGCTGGTGGGCTCGGGCAACGCCCTCGACCTGCTCTGGAGTGCACGCAAATTTGATGGCGAAGAGGCACATCGATTGGGATTTGCCGAGCGCCTGGTTGAAACAGGCGCTTGCGTGGATACTGCACGGGAATATATCGCAAACCTTGCGGCTAACTGTTCCCCGACCTCACTACAGGTGATCAAAGCGCAGATTCATCGGCACATGAATATGCCCCTGGGTGAGGCAATGTCTGAAACAAATACGTGGATGGCACAAAGCCTGGTGCGCGAGGACTTCCGTGAAGGTGTCCGCTCATTTATCGAAAAGCGCCCGCCTGAGTTTAAACGTGTCACTACCTGAGCCGGATCGGGTTTACACCCTCACGGGCCATCACCTTGACCTATCCGTGCTGGAACTCGGACCACCGGACGCGCCTTGTGTTGTGATGCTGCACGGTTTACGTGACAGCGCCCGTTCGCTGCTGCCGGTGGCGCAGATCATCAGTCAAAGCGGCACCGGTTTGCGCGTCCTGTTACCCGACTTACGTGGTCATGGACAAAGTGGTGTGGCCCAGGCCTATGCCATGCCGAACTACCTGTTGGATGTACTTGCGGTTGTCGAGCACTGCAACGGACCGTCAACGGAAACGCCTGTCGGGCTATTCGGGCACAGCCTCGGCGGGCAGATCGCTGCGCGTTTCAGCGCCCTGTTTCCGGAGAAAGTGGCGGCGCTCATTATGGTAGAGGGTATGGGTCCACCCAGACGACCCAATGAAGGGGATCCGGTCCATGAGTTGGCCAGCTACCGGGCCGCCCTGCTGCAAAGATTGACTCTGCAGCGTGGCGGCGGCAGGCCACTGGCAGATTACTCTGACGGTGCTGCACGTCTGCTGCGCAACAATCCTCGCCTGGATCCAGCAATGGCAGAAGACATTGCCCGTCACCTGACAACCCTTATCGACGGTCAGTTACACTGGAATTTTGACCCCCAGGCGCGCAACGTTTTTATCGGCGTCAACACCCTCGACAACACAAAATACTGGCAGCAGATAAAAGCACCTGCCTGCATCATCAGCGGCACCCTGTCCTACCAGTATTGGGGAAAAGAGCTGGCTCAGGAAGGTTTCACCGGACACTTTGCCGAACGCGAGATGGAAAGCCGCGCTGCCCTCATCCCTCATCATGAACACCACTGGTTCGAACATTCAGGCCACATGGTCCACTACGACGAACCTACCCGACTGGGCAATCTCAGTTCACTTTTCCTGGCGCAATATCTCTTTAAGGAGCAAGACAATGGATGACAAGATAATCACAACAGACCTGAGCCATTTCGACGGCGCGGAAATTGTTGCTGGCCTGAACACATACCTGCGCCTGCGGACAACACCCATCGGCATGAAAATGTTCAACAGCAAAGCGGAAATGGAAGCTATCCCACGCATCCGCCGCCCCAACGACATCCACACCACCGACCAGATTGTTGGCCAGGCTTCACGCAATGGCTGGACAGTGGGTATCACCGCAGAAGATCTTGTGGGAGCCCAGTGCAGTACCGTGATCGGTCTACACCCACGCAGCGACGAGTGGCTATCCGGTGATCGAATGACCGGTGTGTGGTACGGCACTCAGGAAGATGCCGCTGCGCATCAGGCGGCCATGGACGTTGTGCCATTTGGTCAATATGCGGCCATGGCGGTCAGTCCGCTGGCCAGCGGCCGCCTGAACCCGCCGGACATCTGCCTTATTTATGCAACACCCGCACAAATGATTTTATTTATTAATGGCCTGCAATGGACCGGCTATAAAAAGCTCGAATGGGGATGTGTGGGCGAATCCGCCTGCGCAGATTCCTGGGGGCGCGCCCTGGCTACCGGCGAGCCGTCTTTATCTATACCCTGTTTCGCAGAACGTCGTTATGGCGGCGTGATGGAAGACGAATTGCTGATGGCCATACCACCCAGCTTTCTACCTAAGATCATTCAAGGCCTGGCCGCATTATCCAACAACGGTCTGCGTTACCCTATTGCCCAATATGGCGTGAATAACGATGTCCGCGCTGGCATGGGTGTCAGTTACTGAAGAGGTGCTCCTATGGAACTGTATGACGCGATGTCCACGCTGCGCGCTGTCAGGCGACTGCGACCAGACCCGATCCCGGCAGATGTACTTAACCGGGTGTTAACGGCAGCTACCTGGGCACCAACCGGTGGCAATCACCAATCCTGGCGCATCATCAGCGTCACGGCGCCTGAGTTAAAACAAGGGTTGCAGGACCTCTACCGTCCCCATTGGGATAGCTATGTACCGGCTTACGAAAAACACCTCAGTGACATGCCACCAGAGCAGGCCGGCCAATCTCGTCGCGCTTTAGAGTCCGGTACTTACCTGGCCCACCATATGTATGAAGCGCCGGTCATTTGTGTGTTCTGCTTCAATACCGAGCACATCACCATCACCGATGCTGAGCTGTCGCGCCCCAGCGTTGTGGGCGGCGGCTCAATCTATCCAGCCGTGCAGAATCTGTTACTGGCTGCGCGCAATGAACAGTTAGGGTGTGTCCTCACAACGTTATTGTGTATGGAAGAGCTGGCGGTGAAAAAACTGCTGCAGATACCCGCAGACTGGCACACCGCCGCATTTGTGCCGTTGGGGTATCCGGTTAAAGGCGGACATGGTTCTATCTCAAGAAAGCCTGTTGAAAAGATGGTCTACAGCAACCATTTTGGCGCGCCTTTGCAACCCTAGACGCTGCGACCACACTGCTGCAGCTGCTGGGCATAACGGTTGGCCTGGGTTGTGACTTTCTGCGCATAGCCCTGGATCGTCGAAGAATTTTTCCACACACCCTTTCGATATCCAGTGGGACCGGTGTAATACGCCAGATACAAACGATAGGGGTCATTCTTGGCTATCCCAAGCTGTTTGTGTGAACGATGGTTGTACCAGCCAATGAAGTCCATAGCGTCATGGAAGTTGTCCCGATCTACAAACCAGCGGTTAGTATCGTCCAGATAATCGCGCCACGCTTCATCCGTGGCCTGAGCATAGCCGTAGGCTGACGACAGACGCCGCCAGGGCACCAGACCCAGCAGGCGTTTGCGTGGCGGCTTGGCATCCGCTACATAAGATGATTCGCGGTGAACAAAAGCCATACCCACATTAACGGGCATTCCCCAGCGCTTCTTGGCCTTTCGCGCCGCTTTGTACCAACTGCCCTTTTCATCAAAAATATCGCAGACCTGATTAGGCTGACGCGGCGGATTTGATGAACAACTGCTCAGTGCAACCAGCAAAGCCAACAGCCAGGCCAGCCCGAGCGGTTTTAACCAGCGAAAATGAATATTAGATTTCGACGCCATGTTGTTGAAGATACTGCAAAAACTCCGCTTCATCCATAACCGGCACATTTAAATTCTGAGCTTTTTCCAGTTTGCTGCCTGCGCCCGGTCCGGCAACCACCTGATGGGTTTTGGCAGACACAGAACCCGCTACTTTGGCGCCCAGTGCCACCAGAATGGCTTTAGCATCATTACGAGGCATCGAAGTGAGTGTGCCCGTCAGTACCCATGTCTGCCCCTGCAGCAGGTCGCTGTTGGCCAGTTTTTCAATGGAGGGCCATCGCACCCCCGCCGCTACCAGCTTGGTCACGATGTTCCGGTTTTCGCTATCTGCAAAAAAGTCGACAATGCGACGCGCAACAATCGGGCCGACGTCTTCAACCTTCTCCAGTTCGACCGGATCTGCCTGGATCAGGGCGTCGAGTTCCGCAAAATGCTGCGCCAGGGCTGCTGCCGTGGCCTCGCCTACATCGCGAATACCTAAGGCGTAAATAAATTTGGCCAGAGTTGTCTCTTTGCTTGCCTCTATAGCCGCAACCAGATTGGCCGCAGATTTTTGTCCCATTCTTTCCAGGGACGCAATGTCATCGGCGCTCAGAGCAAACAAATCCGCGGAGGTTTGAATAAGGCCCTGGTCAACCATCTGCTCAACAAGCTTGTCACCCAAGCCATCAATATCCAGTGCCAGCCGCGAAGCAAAATGTTTGATGCCTTCTTTCCGCTGAGCCGGACATACCTGTGGCGACGCGCTACAGCGTGCTACGGCTTCCTCGTCACTTCGGATAATAGGGCTATCACACGCCGGGCAGCGCTCAGGCAGGCTGATGGCGGCAGCATCGTCGGGTCTGCGGCTGAGGATGACAGAAACTACCTGGGGGATGACATCACCGGCACGCCGAATCATGACCCAGTCGCCCGTATGCAGGTCCAGCCGTCTGATTTCATCCATGTTATGCAATGTTGCATTAGAGACGGTCACGCCGCCAACAAACACCGGCTGCAGGCGCGCCACTGGAGTGATCGAGCCGGTTCGACCCACCTGGAATTCAACTTTCTCAACCCTCGATACAGCTTCTTCAGCGGGGTACTTATAAGCAATCGCCCACCGCGGTTTACGCGTGACCGTACCTAACTCTACCTGCATCGCCAGAGCGTTTACTTTAATGACCACGCCGTCGATGTCATATCCCAGGGTGTGCCGCAATTCCTGGATTTCATTGATGTACTGCAATGCGCCCTCGAGGTCTGCGACAACCCGCACCAACGGATTGGTACGAAGCCCCCAGCGGCTGAAGGTATCAATGACCTCTTTGTGGGTTTCAGGCTGCCACCCCCCATCGGTTGCACCCATGCTGTAACAGAACATCGTCAGGGGGCGCTCCGCGGTAATTTTTGAATCAAGCTGACGCAGACTGCCCGCTGCACCGTTGCGCGGATTGATCATTGGCTTCACCCCCTGAGCTACCGCTTTTTTGTTGTACGCCTCAAAATCAGCCTGGGGTATATAGATTTCACCACGGACCTGGAGCCGGTCCGGCACGTCCGCAGCACTCAGCCGCAGCGGAATCGATTTTATAGTGCGTACGTTTGCGGTGATGTCTTCGCCAGTCTCTCCGTCACCCCGCGTCGCTGCGAGCACCAGAGCACCGCGTTCATAGTTCAGAGCCACCGCTACACCGTCAATCTTAGGTTCGCAGCTGAAGCGCAACTCTGAAGGCTGATCCAGTAAGCCCTTGCAGCGCTGTATCCACTCACCCAACTCTTCTGCCGTTGTACATTTTTCCAACGACAGCATGGGAACGTCGTGACGCACCTGATTGAATTCGGACAGAGGGACCCCGCCCACGCGCTGGCTGGGAGAATCGTCAGTGACCCATTCTGGATGGGCCGTTTCAAGGGCTACTAGTTCGTCGTACAGGGCATCATACTGGCCATCTGAGATTTCAGGCTCATCAAGCACATGATAGCGATGAATATGATGGTTAAGTTCATCGCGCAATTGTTGCAATCGCGCTTTGACCTCCTTTTTCGACGCCGCCATCTCAGGCCCGTTTAGATAACCTTCGACGTGAATAGTCAGCAATACGCTGACGCATATGTTCTACCGTCTGCCCGGTCAACCCGCTCATGGCTTCGTCACGCAACTCAGCACCCAGCTCAACAGCAATGCTACGGGCTGTTGCCAACATATCGTCAAACATGTCGGTGGCGTCCAATGGACCTGGCAGCTGAAGGAAAAACGTCATGCCCGGAGAGTGCAGCTCGTCCAGATCAGAAAGATCAAATGTACCCGGCTCAACCGCATTGGCAACACCATAAAGCTTGGCTTTTGTCGCCGCATCAACGCGATGGAAAATATTCATATCGCCGTAGCGCAGCCCCTGATTTCGCAAGGCGTTAACCAGCCGCTCACCATCAAAACTTTCACCACGCGGCGCGAGCACATTCACGATCAGCAATTCTTCGACCGCGCCAAGCTCCGCAGAGGACGCTGACGTGGTTGCACTTTCAGAACGCTTTCTCGACCGCTGCCGCTCCTCCGTATGCAGAGACACTTCGCGCACATGGGGTTTGACCGGCGCCTCGCTCGCGGTTATTTCCTGCCGCTCAGATCCACTGTGGCGGGTAGTGCTCAATTCCGGCTCCACTGGCCTGGATGCCTCGCGAGAGACCCGCGGTGGTGCCTGATGAACTCTGGGTCTGCTTCTGTTGACCTGAGGTTCTGAATCCTCAATAGGTTCGTTAGCTGCCACAACTGGTTTCGGCGCTGCCGATTTCTCAGCCGTCGGGGTAATCAACAAAGGCGGTGTTTCTTCAAATTCCAGCGGCAGGTTCACCTGCTCTTCCGCCATGGGCCTGCGCGGTACTATGCGCGCCCCGCCGTTGGGCAACTCCCCTCGCAGGCGCTCTATCTCATCGACGCTGTCCGGGATCAGGTCCGGCACAATATCTAAACGCAGGGGTTCGCGTTTGGCTCGCCAGGCAATCCAAAAGCCATGCCCGACAACCATGGCAATCAGTAAACCGCCACCTATGAGGATAAAATCTTTAATGTCCAATCTGGGCTCCTTGATTGCCAATCATAGCAATCGTTAGTTCCAAACCTTTTTCGCGGTCGGGACGCAACTCAAATGCATAAGCACAGGTTACACCGCCATGGCCGCGGCCTCGTCCACGTCTACCGAAACCAGGCGCGAAACACCTGGTTCCTGCATCGTGACACCCATCAAGTAGTCAGCCATTTCCATCGTAATTTTGTTATGTGTAATTACGAGGAATTGCACATCAGCTGACATTTCTTTAATGAGTGCTGCAAAGCGCGAGACATTTGCGTCGTCCAGAGGAGCATCCACCTCATCGAGCAGGCAAACCGGGCTCGGGTTCAGGTGGAAAATGGCGAAGATCAGAGCGACCGCCGTCATAGCTTTTTCGCCTCCAGAGAGCAGATGTACGCTGGCATTGCGTTTACCAGGTGGTCTTGCCATAAGCGAGACACCGGTATCGAGAAGGTCCTCCCCGGTCAGTTCTAAATAGGCGTGTCCTCCGCCAAAAACTTTCGGAAACAGCTCACCCAGACGGCTGTTTACCGCTTCAAATGTGTCCTTGAAACGTGTCCGGGTTTCCCGGTCTATTTTGCGGATGGCTTCCAGCAATGTTTCCATTGCCGAGTCCAGATCTTCCGCTTGCGAATCAAGGTATAACTTACGTTCAGATTCCTGTTCGTATTCTTCTATCGCAGCCAGGTTGATAGCACCGAGTCTGGCAATACGCCGACCCAAACGATCAAGCTGATCACTCCACACGTTTTCTTCTGCCTCTTCGGGCATTTCAGTACGTACCTGCTCTAAGCTATGGCCAGTGCTGCCCAGTTGCTCAAGCAGATTATTTTCCTGCACAGCCAGACCCTGACGTTCAACCCGCGCCTGTTCCAGGCCGCCACGCATTTTTTCTACGGTCTGCTCCTGTGCCTGGCGCTGTCCATCGAGGGTTCGAGTCAGTTGCTCAGCCTGTTCCAGCTGAGCACGTATCGTGGCAAGTTCATTTTCGATTGATACCCTGGCATCGAGTTTTTCCGCCAGTTCCCGCTGCAGATCCGGCAGCGGTGTCTGGCTGGTGGCGATACCCGAAGTTAGCTGCTCCTGTTGTTGGGCCAACTCCTGTTGCTGTTTTTCCAGGCGCTGGCGCGCTGTTTCGCTGGCGGACAGCCGCGACTGAAGGCCTTCTTTTTCGACATTCAGCGCGTAAAATTCATCTCTTTTAAGGCGTGCCTGTTCTCGCGCAGCGAGCAGATCTGCATCCGCCTGTTCACGCTCAGCTTGCAGTTGCTGCCGCATTTCGGCCTGGCCTTCGCGAAGCAGTTCAGCTTCACGCAAGCGCTCGCGCGCGGTGTTCAAGCTCGAAGTTTCCGCCTCAAGCTGTTCACTGATATCCGCAGCATCTTTCATCAGGCGTTCACGACGAGCGCCAGCTTCTTCCAGCTTCACACGTGTGACACCGTGGTCAGTACGACGCTGGCCGAGGCTCTGATTCAGCTGGTTCAATGTACGCTGCAACTCTTCGCGCTGCATTTCGATACGCTCAACCGCCTCGCGGCCGGCACTGACGTGTTGTTGCAGTTCAGCAAGATGCTGCTCAGCTTCTTCAACCTGTACGTTCAGGGTTTCAAGCTGTTGTCCGCGTTCGATAATGCCAGCTTCCTGATCATGATCGTGCAGTACCCGCATCCAATCCGCACCGATCCAGAATCCTTCACGGGTGATGATACTCTGCCCAGGCTGGAGCAGATGGCGTTTGGACAGGGCAACCGAAGCGGACTGCGCCGCATAAATGCCATGCAGAAGTGAAACCGCGCTGACCGCGTCTGCTCGCACCAGAGAGTGCAGACTGGGGAGCGCCAGTTCAGTATTTTCGGCTGCAGGCTGGCTTTGTTTGTTCAGCTCAACCAGAGCCAGATCGCCTTCGGACAATTCCGCCAGAGACGCAGCAAAGTCATCAAGATTATCAACTTGCAGAGCACTGAGGAAGTGCCCAAGCACCGTCTCAACTGCCCGCTCCCAACCAGGGACCACGGCGAGGGTTTCTCCCAGACGTGGCGTTGCGGTTAAGTTGTGCTGTGCAATCCAGGCTTCTGCCTCCTGCACAGTCTGACCCAGGGCAGCATCCTGAATCGCCTGCAGGCTGGCCAACTCGTGGCGCATTTCCTGTACCGCAGCCCGAGCCGCCTCCACTTCGCGCTCCCGCAGCAACGCCTCTTCGCGGGTCTGGCCCAGAGCTTTCAGGCATTCATCAATTTTTATATTCAAATCGCGGGATTGGGTTTCCAGACCAGATATCTCTTGCGCAAGTTGATGCACAACTTCGCCGCCGGGATGATCCTGCTGTGCTTCCTGCTGCAGGGACAATTCATCCTGCCGACCGCGCAGGCGCTGTAACAGCTGTTCCAGATGCTCAATACGCGAGGCCTGCACTTCGGCTTCCTGATCATTACGTGAAGCCTGGCTGTTAAACTGGTCCCAGCGCTGCTGCCAGTCACCCATATTACCTTCTGCATCACGGAGCGACTGCTGTAAGTCGGCGTCCTGCTCAGCCAGAGCGCTGACCAGAGGCAGCAGCTCGTTCAGGCGCGCCTGCAGATCGCCGATCTGATCTTTGTCCATGGTGATCTGGCGATCAGTTTCACTCTGGCGCTGCTGTACCGTCTGCAGGTCCAGCTCAAGCTGTTTGACCCGCGCCTGATTAAACGCAATCGCTTCTTCAATGCGGGCAATATCTGCCCCGAGCTGATAGAACTGCCCCTGAACAGCATTGAACTGCTCACTGGTATTTGCATGATTCTGGCGGGAGGCTTCTATCTGGGCTTCAAGCTGCCGCTGAGACGCGATGGCCTTCTCCTGCTCCAGCTCAAGCTCTTTGATATGGGTTTCGCGCTCAGCTAACTGCGCATGTAATGCAGTGTGTTTCAGAACATACAGCTGCGCGGTCACCAGGGATTCTTCCTGGCGTAGTTCGCGATATTTTTCTGCAGCCTGAGCCTGGCGCTCCAGACGATCAAGCTGTCTTGCAAGTTCCTCTCGTATGTCATTGATACGTTCGAGGTTTTCCTTCGTGTGTTTGATCCGGTTTTCTGTTTCCCGACGGCGCTCTTTGTATTTGGAAATACCGGCAGCTTCTTCCAGATAAACCCGCAACTCCTCTGGCTTGGCTTCCACCAGCTGAGAAATCATGCCCTGTTCAATGATTGAATAACTGCGCGGGCCAAAACCGGTGCCAAGGAAAACGTCCTGGATATCACGACGGCGGCATTTGTTACCGTTGAGGTAATAGTTGGATTGAGCATCCCGGGTGACCACCCGGCGTATCGCTATTTCCGCGTAGGCGGCATATTCGCCACCAATCCGACCGTCGGAATTATCGAAGAACAACTCGATAGAAGCGGTTGCTGTCGGTTTGCGCGTATTGGAACCGCTGAAGATGACATCTGTAATGCTTTCGCCGCGCAACTGCTTGGCAGAACTCTCACCCATAACCCAGCGCACGGCATCGATGATATTCGACTTACCGCATCCGTTAGGCCCAACAACCGCGCAGCGATTTCCGGGGAGGGTAACGGTTGTCGCGTCGACAAAAGATTTAAAACCTGCAAGCTTGATTTGCTTCAGATGCATAAGCGGATCGTTTGAACGGTTACTCTGGTCTATCGAGATCTGACTACAGGGAGACCACCCAACTTTTCGCACCGCGACAAGCCAGCATAGCCCTATGATTATCGGGCGTTTTCACAACCCGACGATCACACTTCCCACCCCTCGACGAACCAGGATTAAATTCAGACGAAGTTACCCTGTTCGTGAAGGCGACAGTCTACTGGAAGACTCCGGTGTTGGTAATACTTTTGTGATAAAAATCTACTGCAAAAGCAGTAATTTCCCACGCCGGAACGCTGCTATGCGATGGGTGCAGCTGAGGCCAGCGGCAGACCTGCCCAGGACAGATTGCCTGTACGCGCTTTGGCTGCTGGTTTAGCGCCAAATGTTTTTCCACACAGAAGATGCAGCCGTTTGTGGAACGCATTAAGCAGTTCATCCAGCCGCTCTGCGTCACCTTCCCGCAATGCTGTATGCAGCGCACGGTAGTAGCGTGCAATATCATGCAGGTCTACATCACTGCGCTCAATCAAAACACACATCAGACGCTGACTGGTGGGCAGCAGGCACTCGAACACGCCATTCATGTAACGTGTTGCCGGACTCAGTAACTCGGCATAAAACGCGCCGCGGGCCTGAATGATTTCATTCACGCCACCTGTCTTCGCCGCGCGATCCATCGTCGACAGTAAATTACCTGCCGCAGCCAGACTCTCGTCTGCGCCTGTCTCCAGCAAACTGTGGAACCAGCGGTGCTCTACAGAGGCCAGCATATCGACCAGATCCAGGGCTTCCTGGGCGTTGATCTCGTTGACCACAGCACCTTTACGCGGCACGATTTCAATCAGATGGCGTCTTTCGAGAATAAGCAGCGCCTCACGAACAGAGCCGCGAGAAACACCGAGCTCATTAGCAATTTTTAATTCCTGGATCCGAGCACCTCCCGGCAGGTCGCCAATGATGACGAGATCGGCAAGATGATCGGCAATCTGTTCAGTAATATTCAGCGTTGGTTTGAATACCATGTGTCTAACGTCTCAAGCCAGGTTATGGCTATAGACCCTGCGTGGTTATTTAAGTTCAGTTTACTCAGGCGGCGTGAGCGTAGCGTCAAGGGTTTGCGCCCCTGAGTCAGCCAAATTCATGGCCGGGGACACCCATTGCCAATCGCCAGGTTGCGGCATTGCGTTGCCGCTTTCACTGACTCGGACCAGGACCTCAAATTGATCTGCCTGGCTGAGCCTGCGCTCCGGACTCATACTGACAAGATCATCAAGCCGAACTTCGAAAGGTAATAAGAACGCCGGCTGTTTGACTGCGGCATAAGGCATGCCGCCACCCACTGGCCGCGCAACAACAAAGACACTGGCGCGGGGTGAAGGTGAGGTTGTGGCTGACACGGCAACAGAAACCCCTGGCTCAGAGGTCTGCATGCCCTCCCGCACCTGACGGATAGCCGTGGCAAAAGAGGCCTGGCGCTGCAGATCATTAGCGCTGGTCAACGCACGATTCAACAGCGTGATGGCCTGCTCTGGGTCACCCGTGCGAAACGCATCCAGTGCCAGAATTTCGAGCACCACACCCAGCGATGGTTCCTGCTCCAGAATGCGTTGCGCCAATTCGCGACTGAAATCATCCAGCACACCTGCTGCTGCAAGATAACGCGACTGAAGCCAGTAGACCTGCACATTCAGATCGTCTCCTGCGAGTTGCGCGGTTCTACCAAACGCCTCGGCAGCCTCTGCATATTCACCCTGTTTAAGGTAAACATGACCAAGCAGGTAGAAACTTTTGTCGTCGTCTGGTGAGTTTTGCGTATGTGCCGACAGGCGTTCCGCCCACCCCTGCAGAGCAGCATCATCTGCAGCCATAGTCAGCACTTCTTCTGCACCACGGATATTCTGCAGTTCAGGCTCAGCCACCGTGAAATAAATGCCTAGGGCGAACAGCGGCACAAGCAGCGCCAGCGACCATGACAGCGCCGTCTTCTGTGTGGAAATTTCCGTCTGATCGACATCACCCAACGATTCAGTCAGCAGAACGGCGCCTAGTTCATTTTCAATCTCACCGCGTAGCAGAGTGTCGTCCGTTTCACTCGGAAGTTCGTCATAACGCTGTCGGTAAACGTCTTTCACCACCTCATCATGGCTGACCTCCGCAACCACACCACGACGATTTAGGAGTGGCCAACACACGAATACAGCGGCCAGCAGCGCCAATAACAGACAAACAAAATAAAACACGAAATTACTCTTCTAACTCATTCTTTCAAGAGGGCGCGGACGCGTTGCCGCTGGGATTCATCCAAATCGACAACCTCTTGCTGCCGCGCGCGGCGCAATAAGCCGAACAAGACCAACGCCCCGACAATCGCCAGACCGAGTGGGACCAGCCAGATGAGCATGGTGCGGCTGTTAAATGGCGGGTTATACAGGACAAAGTCCCCGTATCGCGCCTGCAGGAAATCGCGCACTTCCTGGTCACTGTATCCTTCCTGCACCACCAGGCGATGCACGGTACGCCGCAGGTCCTGAGCGATGGGCGCATCGCTGCCTGCAATATTGGTGTTGAGGCATTTCGGACAGCGAAACTCAGCTATGAGGCCTTTATAACGCTGCTGCTGCTCGGCCGAATCGAAGCTATAGACATCAACAGGACTGACCGCCCAGGCTTGCAGGGCGATTAAAAAAACCGTCAACGAAAGGAGACGCAACATCATCGGCCCGCGCCGATGGTCAAACTTTCAGTCTCCTGTGCGGGCATCTGATATACCCCCATCTGCGCCAGTCGTGGGGCCAGCTCATCACGCCATATACGCTGATTTACTTCACCAACACGTTTGTAAACCACCTCTCCCTGGGCATTGAGCAGAAAGGTCTCCGGCGCGCCATAAACTCCCAGCTCTACACCAAGACCGCCGTCCTGATCCACGATGACAAATTCATAGGGATCACCGTAGTCAACCAGCCAACGTTTGGCTTTCACCGCGACATCCTTGTAGTTAACCCCGACCAGACGCACATCGGTCAACTCTGCAATACGCATCAGCTCAGCGTGCTCGGCTTTACAGGTCGGACACCAGGTGGCCCAGACATTCACCAGTGTTGGACGACCTAACAGATCCGCTTTGCTTACACGTCGATCCGGATCGTTGAGCACGCTGGCGGAAAACTCCGGAAAAGGCTGATGCAACAGCGCCGAGGGTAATTCGTTGCGGTTATCCAGGCTGAATCCGATGTAACCAACGGACATGATCAGCAGGAAAATGCCCAGCGGTATAAACAAGCTCGCCCTGCTCATCCGGCAGACCCCGACCCTAATGCTGCTTTAATCGGCACATCGCGCCGCGTTCGAAGTTTGCGATAGCGCTTATCCATCACGGCCAGCATCCCACCCAACGCGAATAACAATGCACCCAGCCAGACCCAACGAACCATCGGTTTGTAATGCAGCCGCACCGCCCAGGCACCGCCACCCAGGGGCTCACCCAGAGAGATATAGGTGTCTGCAAACAGGCCGGCATCAATGCCGGCCTCTGTCATGATGTTACCACCCGCCAGGTAGCGGCGTTTTTCCGGCCGCAATTCAAATGTTCTGCCGCCATTGGTGATCACAAAGACCCCCTGCTGCGCGACATAGTTAGGGCCCTGAACTTCGCGCACACCGAGGAAACGAACCTCTTCAACACCCAGCGTCGTCACATCATTGGGCGCCATGCGGACATCGTCTTCCACAGACTGGGTGGCGGTAATCGCAATTCCAAGCACCGACACTGCAAAACCAATGTGTGCCATGGACATACCAACATAGGCCAGCGGTAGACTGCGTGACGTGCGCAGGCGTTTCACCACGTCAATTAAATGCGTTGCCACAATCCAAAGCGCAATAATCAATGCCGCCAGCACGCCCGCAGATTTAGGATCTGTTGTATACCACCAGACACCACCCAGCAAAGCGGAGACCGGCAGCGCTGCAGTCAGGGTCCCTTTCAGGCTTTGCCAGGGGGTACGTTTCCAGTTAAGCACCGGTACGAGGGCAACAGCCACGCCGAGCAACAACATCAACGGTACAAAAAACATGTTAAAGAACGGCACGCCAATAGAAATACGGCCGCCGGAAATAGCTTCATAACCGATTGGCGCAAGGGTGCCCCACATGACAACGGCAAGCGAGACCACCAGGATCACGTTGTTGATCAGCATGAAAAATTCACGGCTGAGAATTTTAAAACCCACATCAGCGCGCTCTCCTGCCGCACGCAGACCGTAGAGGGTCAGCGACCCGCCAACCACTAATGCAAGGAAAATCAGGATGTACATACCTCGTTCCGGATCTACCGCAAACGCATGGACAGACGTCAATACACCGGATCGAACAATAAAGGCACCAAGCAGTGACAAAGAGAATCCGGCAATTGCCAGCAGCAGCGTCCAGCTCTTGAACGTGCCACGTTTCTCTGTCACGGCAAGAGAATGAATCAGCGCGGTTGCGGCCAGCCAGGGCATAAAGCTGGCATTCTCAACAGGGTCCCAGAACCACCAGCCACCCCAGCCCAGTTCGTAGTAAGCCCACCAGCTACCCAGGGCGATGCCGACACTTAAAAAAGCCCAGGCAAAATTTGTCCAGGGCCGTGACCAGCGGGCCCAGGCTGCATCCACACGTCTTTCCAGCAACGCCGCAACAGCAAAGGAGAACGGTACTGCCAGCCCCACGTAGCCGGCATACAGCAAGGGCGGATGTACTATCAGACCAAAATCCTGCAGCAGCGGGTTCAGATCTGCCCCATCCGCAGGTGTCATAGGTATCAGACGCTCAAAAGGATTTGATGTGAATAGCGCGAAACACAGGAAACCCAGATTCATCAGACTCATGGTGCCTAACACGCGACTGAAAAAGCGCACCGGATAATTGTCGCGACGCAGCGTCAGCAACAGCATCCATAGCGTCATAATCAGGATCCACAAGAGGAAGGATCCTTCATGCCCACCCCAGGTGGCGCTGATTTTATAAGGCAGTGGTAACAGGCTGTTTGAGTGAGTGGCGACATAGGACACCGAGAAATCGTCGGTGGCAAAGCTGTACACCAGGGCTGCAAAGGCCACTGCGGCAAAAACAAACTGCCCAACGACCATGGACACCGTTGACTGCCGTAACAGCTGGGTGCCTGGGCCATGCGCAAACAGTCCGGCAGCAGCGGCTGTAAGCGCCAGACAGGCGGCCAACGCCAGACTGAGTTGACCCAACTCAGCAATCATGGTGACGCCTGCGAATCTGCCTCAGCATCAGATTTGGCGCCAGATTCGGCAACCATGTCCATCAATTCCGGCGGCATATAATTTTCGTCATGTTTGGCCAGCACTTCTCGCGCCATGAATTTACGCTGCTGATCCAGCTCACCCTGCACAATGATGCCCTGCCCTTCACGAAACAGGTCCGGCAGGATTCCGGTGAACGCAACCACAAAGTCGGATCCCATATGATCGGTGATGGTGAACTCAACCTGCAGACTCTCGGGATCACGAGCAACCGACCCATCTTTCACCATGCCCCCTGCGCGAATGGTGCGTTCAAGCGGCGCGGTGCCGTCTACCACCTGATCCGGGGGATAGAACATATTGATGTTTTCTTCCATCGCCACCATCAGCGCCGCTGTGGTTCCAGACACGGCAACCAGCAGAAACAGAGCCAGATACAATCGACTTTTTCGTTTTGGGTTCATATTTTCTCCGCGGCGTATTCTACGCTGGCGTCTGTTTCACTTTCTGTTCGATTTGTTCGATGCATGCCATCGCGATCTGCTTGCGCTGACCAGCGCAACTGTGACAGCTGTCGCTTTTTCGCACGCGAAAGCGCGACGGTACTGCCGATCAGGATCGCCACGGTGGCACCATACGCGAGCCACACATATAGCGCATGACCGCCCATCGCGATAAATTCCGCAAAGCTGTCGAATTGCATTCAGCTGCTACCTTTTACTGTCGTTTCCGGAAGCACGAGATTACGCACCCAGCGAGTGCCACTTTCCCGGCGCAGGATCTCCAGGCGCATACGCGTAATGATGTTATGCCCGGCAAAACAATACATACCTAACACCATCACCAGTAGCGGCAACCACATCTCTGCCGGCATGGTAGGTTTTTCTGTGAGTGTGATAGAGGCCGGCTGATGCAGTGTGTTCCACCACTCAACGGAATATTTGATAATAGGAATGTTAATGGTACCCACCATGGCCACCAGCGCACTGGCTCTGGCGCGCATCTGTGAGTCTAAAATGGCTTCGCGCAGCGCAAATATGCCGATGTACAAAAACAGCAGCACCAGGGTTGATACGGTGCGGCCATCCCATTCCCACCAGGTGCCCCAGGTCGGTCGACCCCAGACACCACCGCTGAACAGCGCCAGGGAGGTCAACAGGATGCCAAATGGCAAACACGCAGCGATGGCAATATCAGCTACTTTCATGCGCCATACGAACAGCACCAGCCCCGCAACACCCATGCTGATGTAGACACTTTGCGCCACCATAGCCGCAGGCACGTGCACATACATGATGCGGAAGCTGTTGCCCTGCTGATAATCCGGTGGCGCAAAGGCCAACCCCCAGACTATGCCAACCCCAAGCAACAACAGCGCAAACACGCCGAAGCCTGTCACCCAGGGGCCGGACATCTGATAGAACCATCGAGGAGAACCGAGCTTATGCCACAGTTCTTTTAATGTCAGTTTCAGCGCCATAGACACTCTTTGTAAATTTGTTACAGCTGCAGGCTAATTTTTAGACCCGCTGTGGTCGCAAAAGGTCCAATCAGCAGTGCAACCATGCTAATAAATGCCAACCAGTACAACTGTGCGTCAGCACTGATACCGGCCACCTCTGAACTGACCGCACTGGCACCAAACACCAGCACCGGCAGGAATAAAGGCAGCACCAGGAGGCCTAACAGCACACCCCCTCTGGCAAATCCTACTGTCATGGCAGCGCCCACAGCACCGAGCAGACTCAGAGCCGGGGTTCCGGCCAGCAACAGCAGCGCGGTTTTAGCGATTGCGCTAGCAGGCAAACCGAGAAACAGGCACAACAGCGGCGACAGAAGAACGATCAGAAACCCTGTGCCAAGCCACTGCACAATAATTTTCACGAGCACCGCCAGCAGCGGTACGTCTGCGGTCACCATCATCTGTTCCAGGGTGCCGTTATCAAAATCGCGGCGAAAAAGAGAGTCCAGCGACAGCATATTGGTCAACAGTACAATCAGCCAGAGCACGGCGCCGCCATATAAGGCGCGCGTATTATCCTGCAGCGGGCTACCTACCGCAAACAACATTACCGCCAGAAACATAAATACTATCGGATTGATCATAGCTGCGCGGTTGCGGATCAATACCCGCCATTCGCGCAGAAACAGAGCCGTCATATTCATGCAGCCGCCGACACCGGCTGCAACACGAGTTCACCTTTATCGACGACCTGCAAAGGCAGGTGGGTCGCGGCCAGCACGGCACCACCCTTATCACAGTGACGACTCAACAGCTGATTGAGCAGGACCTGGCCGTCTTTATCCAGTGATGTATAAGGCTCATCAAGCAGCCAGAGCCTTGCGTTGCTGAGCAACCATCTTGACATGGTCACCCGGCGCTGCTGTCCTTGAGAAAGCTGCTGACAGGGGGTCATTGCAAAGTTAATCATGCCCACTTCCCGTAACAGCTCTGCGGCCAGATCTTCGGCCAAAGTGCGACCTTCCAGCCCGGCAAACCAGGCCAGGTTTTCCAGCGGCGTCATCAGCTCATCCAGCCCCATCGGGTGTCCCTGAAAAAGGAAATCCGTGCAGTCATAGGTGCCATGAAACTGACTGTACAATCCACCAAGGGTTCTCAGGAGTGTGGTCTTACCCGCACCGTTAGGGCCCAGCAGCTCGACACAGTCGCCCACATTAAGCTGTGCCGTCAGCGGCTCAAACAGCGGCAGCTCCTCGCGCGTGCATACAAGCTGATTGAGGGACAACAGCATAGATCAGACTCAGTTCAGAGCTTTCACGGTGTAACAAGGGGTGTATTCACCAATCAGGCGCATCCGCCCCTGCTCCGCAAAACTCTTCAACAAGGTATCCAACGCATCGGTCAGCTCGCTGTCCGCACGCAGCTCAAAAGGACCGTGCTTCTGAATAAGACGGATCCCCTGCTCCTTAACATTGCCGGTAACAATCGCAGAAAACGCTCGCCGAACTTCAACCGCAAGCTTCTCGATCGGCTGATCGCGAACCAGGTTAAGTGCCGCAACACTTTCGTGTGTGACATCAAATGGCTCCTGATGGGCGGAAGGAATATTCAACAACCAGCTGAAGTAGTAGGCATCACCGGACTTGCGTCGGGCACGATGCACATTCCTGATGGCATGGCTCATATACTGCCCCACCGCTTCACTGTCGCCGATGATGATTTTGTATTTTCCTTCAACAGCATCGCCGAATAAAAGGCGCAGAAACTTGTCCATCGCGGCAAAATAATCGGCACTTTCATCCGGTCCAGTGAAGACCACAGGCAATTGCAGATCGGCGTTGCTGGGATCCAGCAGAATCCCCATGAGATAGAGAATCTCTTCAGCGGTACCTGCACCACCAGGGAAAACAACAATGCCATGTCCCAGGCGCACAAAAGCTTCAAGTCGTTTTTCAATATCCGGCAGTACAACCAGGTGATTCACAATCGGATTAGGCGGTTCAGCTGCTATGATGCCGGGCTCCGACAGACCGACAAACCGTCCACCGCTGACCCGCTGTTTGGCATGACCAACAGAGGCTCCCTTCATAGGACCTTTCATCGCACCTGGTCCACACCCGGTGCAGATATCCAGACGTCGCAGACCAAGGTGATAGCCCACCTTTTTGGTGTAGTCGTATTCAGTCCGGCCAATCGAATGCCCGCCCCAGCAGACCACCAGATTCGGGCGCATACCCGCTTCCATGACCCTTGCCTGCTTGAGAATCTGGAACACCGCATCGGTTATGCCTGCCGTTGTCGACATGTCGTACTGCAGGGCATCACTGATCTCAGTACCTATATAAATCACGTCCCGCAGCACGGCAAAAAGGTGTTGTCGCACGCCTTCGATCATGCGCTTTTCCACTAGAGCGCTGGCGGGTGCATTTTCAATCTTCAGCTGGAGACCGCGGGTTCGCTTCACCACCTCAATGCTGAAATCAGCATAGGCATCAAAAATCGCTGCGGCGTCATCGGTTTCATTACCGGTATTCAGCACGGCCAGCGCGCAGCGTCGAAAAAGATCCTGGATCTCGTCGTGGCGGGCTCCGGTGGTCAACGCTTCAATCTCCCTCTGCGACAGCAATTCCATGCTGCCTCTGGGATTGATTTCGATATCCACTTTGGGAAGTGGCGCTGGCTGGTCAGGAGTGTTCATGTCTAACCCTTAGTTGAGCCCCATTGAGCATTAGTTAAGCTTAATTTCAAACCTACAAGACTTAAGTGTAGTGGCCTTAACGCATTGCATAATCGAGGGTAAAGCCCGCATATACATTACGGCCCGGGGCAGGTTCAAACAGTCGGCCGCCAAACCCGTTTATGCGCACATTGGCGTTGTAGTCTTCGTCGGCCAGATTATTAACCCCTATAAACGGCGACCACGACCAGCGATTACGCGTGCCGGTGTAGCCCATGCGAACATTCGCCACAACTGCGCTATCACTGGTCCCGGAATTGGCGTTATTGACAAATAATTCGTCCATGTACAACACGTCGCCTACCGCATAAAACCCATTACTGTGGCGATAACTGAGTTCTGCAAAGACCTGATGCTCGGGTAAACCTGGCAGGGCATTGCCCTCAAATTCAGGGCTGCCGTCAAAAGCTTCAAATTCGTAGTCCGCATAGGTGTACGCCAGGCTCAAACGCAGCGAATCACTGAAACTTGCGACCGCGCTGAGCTCAAAGCCCTGGCGGTCGGTATCTGCATTTTCAAAAAAAGCGCGGTTGCCTATGTCCTCGACGCTGGTGATTTCATCTTCAACGCTGATCTGATACGCCGCCAGTTCAAAGGCCAGACGTTGTTCAAACCCATCACCTTTTAAACCAATCTCAAAACTTTCTGCCTCTTGCGGGTTAACATCGTTAAAGCCGCCCAGGCTCACCGAAAGCGTGCGCGCTGGACTCGCCAGTTCGGTGAAGGTCGGCGTCTCAAATGACGTGGCGTAGTTTGCATAGAGTGTCATCTGATCACTCAGAGTCCAGGATAAACCGGCCATGGGACTCCACTGCTCAAAATTCAGCTCGCTGGACTGGTCCGCGTTGGCCAGAAATTTATCATCAACTGTCAGTTCAATATCGTCGTAGCGCAGACCCAGCACCAATGTGAGTTGATCACTCAAAGCAGTTTCGTTACGGACAAAAAAACCAACGGTGGTGGCCTCTTCCAGCTGATCAAAAGTCAGCGTGCCTTTAGCCCCTGCGTTATTCAGGAATCGCTGGCGATCATCTTCCTGGCGGTCTACATCAAGACCAAAGATTGCCGTATTGGCCAGGCCAAACAGCGTATTGGTGGCCGCCAGTTGAACCCCACCGCCATAAAAGAAACGGTCGAACTCAACAACACCATCATCCGCAACAAAGGGAATGTGCGTGCCTATCGGTAAAAAAGCTTCGAAGTCTCGCCAGACATAATAGTTACGCACCGACAAATCGAGGTTGTCGCTGAGCGGACGGGTATAGCGCAGGGCAAGCTTCTGTTGGTCCAGAGCTTCGCCAGCATTGGAACTCAGATTACGCGCCTGAGCAGACCTTGGGTCCGCAGCGGTCTGAGCCGCAGTGATACCCCCGGCATCGTCAGCCTGAGGTGAATCGACCAGGTTGGCGATCAGCGTCAGCTCGCCTTCATCCAGACTGTAAACAAACTTGCTGTTAAATTGACGAGATTCCACACGGGCATTGTCCCGGTAGCCGTCAAACTCCAGATCACTCAAGCTGACAAGATAATTTAACCGGTCGTACTGACCGCCGGCCTTGAGCTGATATTTTCGCTGTTGATCTTCACCAACCGTCACTGCGGTTTGCAGAAACGGCGTTTCCGGGCCATCTTCCGTATATAAGGCTATGACACCCCCTGCCGCGGAACCGTACAACGCCGCAGCCGGACCGCGCACAATCTCCATGCGCTGCAGTGAACCGATATCCACGTCGTCTATGCCACTCTGTCCATCAGCAGTGGTAGACGGGATACCGTCAGCGTAGATTTTCAAGCCACGAATACCGAAATTGGCACGCGCACCAAATCCCCGTACAGCGATGCGCAAATCCTGGGCATAGTTATAACGATTCTGCGCAAACACACCGGGAACCCGACCAAGCGATTCATCCAGCCCCAACTGCGCTCGGCCAAGCTGAATATCTTCGATCTCAATCACACTGATGGCACTTGGCACAGTGCGCACCGGCGCAGCGATTCTTGACGCCACAACGGAAATCTCCTCAATTTGAGAAGCCTGAGTGGCAGAGGTTTCTGCAGCATGAATCTGCACGGTTTGAAGAGCTGCCAGGAGCCAGAAGGCGCGGCGCGAAAAGCTTGTCATGATGGGAATCTGGCCTTGATTGAAGCGCGCGTATACTACGCAAAAAAGATGGGCGGGTACACGCCAGTCGCTAGCGACCGTTGGCAAACCCATCCACCTGGCGACGCTGTGCAAGGCCGGTGAATTCCAGGAAACGTTTCGCCAGATCCTGATCAAATTTCATACGCAGCTTCAGATAGGGACCTTTGGCGGTGTAATCCGCCGCTATGAAGTCATCATCTTCGAAACCTTCAACATTGTAGCCAACGCTCAACCACATATTCGGTCGAATGCTGTGACCCACAGCAGCGCCATAGGAATATCGCGCGGTGCCTGCTTGGTGAGATGTCAGGATCGATGAACGCAAAGAGACATCCCAGCGGGACGCAATATCGTAGCGATACTCCGCCCCAACAAGACTGGTGACGCCATCAAATTCATCAGCGTCGATGTTCTCAATCACGTATTTAAAGCCAAATTGCAGCGCCAGCTGATGCTTCAGGCCCGGTTTATAGTTAGCGTTGAAGTTGTTCACCCATTTGCGAGTCCGGGTATCAAAGGCGTTACCCTCGCGCCGCTCAAACACCAGATCTGTTCGATTCAGAAATGACCAGGCGCTGTCAAACGGGCGCCAGGCGGCTCCGACACGCAGGTCAAGATTATCCTGAACAACGCCAGTCGAAGATTCTTCGTTTAACCAGGACATACTCGCAGATACAACACGACCTTCTGCGAGCTGGTGGTTAGCACCCACCAGTACGTTCCATTTATCTTCTAAATCACCGGCATGCCATTCAAACCTGGATGAAACATCCCAGGCTTCATGGCGGTAGCCAAAACCTGTAAAAAATGCCGTAAAGTCATTATCGATACTGCCCGATGCCGGTGGCACGGTGGGGTTAAACAACAGATCCCGCGGCTGATCCGTCGAACCGCTTTCCGCCAGCGTCTGTACTCGATCAAAGCCAATGTCATACAGCCAGCGCTCGTTGATACGCCACTGCTGCAACAGACCTGTCGTGGCAAACAGGCGGTTGCCATTTTCACCCTGTGCCCGGGTTACAAAAGAGTTGACGTCGCCACCCGTCCAAGGCCGAGCACGCACGCCAAAACGCGTATCCTGAGTGTCTCTATCATCACCCCAGGTTAACTCCTGCTCTGCAATGAGATTGACCTCGTTGAACACTTCATACTCCGCCCCAAATATTGCTCTGGACGGATAATCTGTATTGCCTGAACCACTGGACACATCAAGTTCCGCATCCGCGCGCAGCATGAGCTTATTGTTGTAAACATTCTGCGCCACACCAAACAGCAGCTGAGTCGCGTCCGCTGATTCCCCACTGGCACCCTCCTCGGTCACTGACTGCACGCCGGCTGAGAATTTTGTTGCGTCTTTACGCCACTCACCCAGCGCATTTACAACCAGTCTTTTAGAACCTTCCGCCAGAGCGGTCTGCTGAAAGCTCTGGCCACGCAGCAACAAATCTTCACGCAGCCGATACTCACCTTCCAGGCCAATCTTCCGGGTACCCGCTTCCAGCGCCGACTGGTTACCCAGACCAAAAGCCTGTTCCTGCTCACGCGCGTAAATCCTGCCGGCCATTTTGCTGCCAGCGTGTTCTAACTGAAGCAGATAAGCGTTGCCTTCATCGTTTAGGTCCGTATCTGTTTGTGCCACTTCCAGTGTGAGGGTTGATGCCGTATTCATCTGCCAGGTGAGGTCAGCGGCAAGCAGGGTCCCACCCTGCCCTTCAGTATCATCATTGATATAAGTCACGGCCACTTCGCTGTCCTGGTCATCCAGGCGGTAAGCAACCCGACTACCCGCGACAATTTTTTTGTCCACGCCTGCAAACGCCACTTCATATTCAACTTCAATAAATATGGGATTAAAGTTTTCGTCCTGGCTGAAAATGGGTTGTTTGAAGATCAACGTACCGCGGGAAAAATCGATGGTGTAATCGAGAAAACGGGTCAGCTCGACGCTATCAATAATGTTCTGGGTTGCAAACCGATCTCGCGTCACGATGCGCACCGACTCGCTGTTCGCAACCAGCCGCTGGTTAGACAGACGATAGACGCCGGACGTGCCATCACCACGCAGTTCATCACGGACAAGGGCCTGGTCGGTTTCACTGGCAAACACCTGGGTTTCAATATGTTCACCAAAAAACCCAAGATTGACGCCATTCAGACGGCGGTCATAGCGCGCCAGCTCTGAGCGTTCAAAATTGGTATCAAAGTCGCCAAACAGTGCCGCGAAGCGAGCACGCTCCAGCTTTAAGTAAAGTTTGCGTTGGCTTTGCGCATCAAACAGCTGTTCGGTGCCGTCTCCGTAAAGGGTATAAAACTGGTTGGGATCAATCTGCTCACGCAGCTCACGTTCAAATTTCTTGTCGGTGTCATACGCCACCGTGAGCAACCAGTCGCCGCGCACCATACCCTTGCCGTAAAACGCCATGCGGCCATCGGTAAGAGATTCATCTTCGAGATTCTGTTTACCCAACGACTTCAGATTGCCGGACAGATCGTTTTGCGCATAGGTGCCTTCCAGCAGACCCACCATTATCCAGTCGCGGTTTCCCGGAATCATTCGTGCGCGGACTTTGTCACTGCGCACAGGGTCAAACTGAAACTTGATCTCTACCTCTCCGGTGGAGGTTGTCGGCTCCAGCTGAATATAGGCGATACCGTCACGCAAAACCTGGTAACGCTGGTTGTTGAATTTGTTATCCATCGCCTCCAGATGCTTGGCTTTATCCAGCGCCATAAAGGGTGCTGAAACGAAAAACTCGCCAGTGGTGCCCGGACGCAACGGGTAGCCTTCCCGGTCGAACAAACGCACCGCTATCACAGGCGGATACAAACCATCGGCAACCAGGTACGACTCTTCTTTGACCCACTCTGCGCGAGCGGGCGCACCGCTGAAATGGGTGCTGCGGGAATGGCGCTCGACGATGTCGCCTTCGCTGTTGAGCAACTGAGCTTCGATCACGCTATCGTGCTCAGAAATAGTAACGTTATCCCAGCGCGACAAACTCACGCCAGCAGCATGATCCGTCGCTGTACCTTCGTAGGTCACAGGATTAACAATTTTGCCATCCACCAGCAAAACCGCTTTTAACGATTTTGCGTGGGCTACGGCAACTTCTATAGCCGGCAACACCGGATTGTAGTTTTCTGGCGGCCAGACAATCCCCTGGGCTGTGGGATTCTGAGAAAGCCAGCTCAGGTTGAACGCAGGTGCTTCACCGCGATCCTGCTCGGGTAATTCGTACGGCGCACTTCGCACGCCATCATGGCGCACTGACACCTGCTTCTTAGCGACGTTACCACGGGTGTAATTGGACCCCCGTGAGGGCTCCATTACCTCAGAGGCTATGGCTACTACCGGTTCAATAGAATCGTTAGCCGGCGCGATTTCACGCAACCGTTTGGAGTTGCTCTGCCGGGCTACGCGCAATGCTCTGTCACTGGAGGCGGTTACAGATTCAGCAATCATCACCAGCGATGCAGGCCAATTCAGGCTCAGCTCATTCTGACTCACGTCAATGCGGTGCTGTCCCTGTCGGGTAGCAAATTGCGACACTGCTTTGGAGACGATATGACCCTTAGGTGTCTTCACAAAGGTTTCAAAGGTCAGTGCATAATTAAAATGGTCCGCTGTGTCCGGCAGCTTGAACGTCGGCGCACCCATACCCAGACCGCTGGGATCGCCTATCGGCTGACCATTCAGTTTTGCACTACCTTCTATATACGCCAACTGGTCTGCCAGCATGATAGTAGTGCGCAGATTCTGCAGCGGCACAGCGCCGCCTTTGATCCAATAGGTATATGTCACTTTGCCATCATCAGCCTGGGCATCCAGTCGGCTGACAATTTCACTGCTCTGATCTGGTTTAGGCGCTGTATAAAAATCTGCACGCCACAGGGTGCCACCCTGCACGTCGACAAACTGCGAACCTGGATTGCCGGCAAACCGGGTATTGTCTTCGCACAACACCAGTTCATGGCTACCGGGTAACGTTGCAGTGTCCAGCGCCACTACGTGGGTACCAGGCTCTATACCCTCAAGGTGATATTTACCGTCAATATCGGTGACAACGAAGGTGCCATCTTCCAGCCAGATCCGAACATCCGCCAAACCTTGCGCACCCACCTGATCTGAGGCCGCGGCGTCGCCAGCAGGACAGCCGTTTGCGTACACTTGACCAATAAGGATTGCTTTGCTCCGCAACAAATCTTCCTGCACCTCGACATCGGCAAACGCAACATTCGCCTGCCCTATACCGGTGCCTGTAACGCTTGCTCGGTTACGTGCAGGTCCCAGCTTGGCACCGGCGGTAATTTCAACCACATAACGCAGTGCAATGGTGCTGCCCGCTGCCAAATCGCCCAGGCGCAGGTCAAACTGTTCACCATCACTGGATAACTCGGGCTCAGATTCATCTATGCCAGTAACTTTCAGTGAACCCGGCACATAGCGAAAACCAAGGGGTAACTGGTCAGACAAGACCATATCCGACACCGTGCCGCTGGCGTCAGCGTTTTCAACCTGGATCTGATACTGCACAAAGTCGCCCACGGCTGCAGTCTGTTTGCTCGCTTGTTTGGTGACAAATACCTCTGCGGATATCGGATCCAACGGCAGGTCAAACCCTGCCGGCACACCGGCGGCAACGGTAAACGTCTCTCCCCGCGAACCCTGGTCGAGGTTAAATGGTCCACCAGGCAGGAGATTTAACGCCGCATTATCGAGCAGCGAGGGAAATGTAAAGGAAACCGGCGGGGTGACTTCCAGTCGGTATTCACCCGGCAGAATCACCGGAAAATAGAAAGTGCCTGGTGCAAAGTCAACGCGTTCACCGCTGGCGTCGGTAACCTCACCACCGACAACAACGGTGGCTGGAAAAGCACTGACGCCATCTGCACCAAAAATAGCATCTTCGGCCGCAAGCCCGGTGTTGACGTCTATTAAGGTGACGCTTGCACCCGAAACCACCTCACCGGTGGCACTGGAAATCATGCTGAAACCCGGATCGTAGGCAAGGTCGGCAGATGCGGTGTCGGTGTTGTCAGTTGCATCCTGGTAACTGACCAGGATCGATGCACCCGGCGCTGCCTCCAGCTGACAATTTGCAGGCGCAGTCGAGGTACCCGCAGTTTGCAGATACCCGACAAACACGCCGGTAGAATCATTCGTTTCAGACAGCTGCAGAGTTTCACGCTCAGACGTGCCCGCAATCTGCACCTCAACGATGATTTGATCAGGCGCAAAAGGATTCTGATCCTGGTCCGGATCAACCACTGAAATGAACAGTGCATCATTGCGCGCAAGCCGGTCTACGGGTGTCAGGGTAAGGTTCGCTGGAACCGACAATGCACCCTGGGCAAGTGTGATCGGATCCGCAAGACTCGAAAAACCACTGCCATCAAAACAGGCCGTTGGCGCAACCTGAACAGACTCACTATTGCCATTGGGCGTAAGTCCGGCGAATACAGCAATACTGCTGCTGGTCGGCGTAACCGGCTGCAGATCCAGTGGGATATCTACCTGCACGGCAGGACCCACAGGCACAATAAAGCTCTGGCCCCGCGAGCCGGAGCCTAAGGCATACGGCGCACCGGGTAGAACCTGTAGCTGTGCATCCGTAGAAGATGTTGGGAATGCAAAACGATTAGGCGGCACAACCTGCAGAAGATATTCTCCAGGCCGCACAAATGGAAAACGGTAGGCGCCGCGATCATTATCATAGAACTGATCTCCACTGACCTGTGTAGCAGGGAAACCAGTCACACCGTCGTCAGCAAAAACCTGCGCGGGTTGATTGGTGAGCGCGTCCAGAAGCGTAATAGTTGCACCATTAATCAGCGTACCGCTGGCACTATCGAATACACGACCAAATGGATCAACCAGGATATCAATGGTTGCCAGATCAACATCATCATCAACATAAGCCAACGATACAGTTGTACCTGACAAGACTTCCAGAACACAGTTTTCAACTATTGCGACGGATCGGCTGGTTTGCAGATAACCGACAAAAATGCCTGTATCCACCCCCGTCTCAGAAACAGTAATGATCTCCTCATCTAATGCCGGAGTGCGTAACCGCACCAGCACCTGATCCAAAGCCAGCGGGTCAGCATTAGCCTCCGGGTCTGCAACCTGCACAAACAGCACGTCTGCAGATTTCATGACACTTGTGGGGAGAAACTCTCCACTGCCTGGTACCTGCAGGCTACCGCCTGCCAGGCTTATGGGCGCGGGCAAGGGTGAAAGACCTCCGCCGGCGACACAACTGGTCGGGTTTACCGACTGGAGTTGTGCTGCGTCGGCGCCGGTGGCAAGTTGCAGTGCAGTGATCGAAGCATTTTCACCGCTGCCACCACCAGGCGGTGTCGCAGTGAGCGTGAAGGTCTGGGTATAGTTCAGGCCGCCACTGTCAGTTGCAGTGACCATAACCTCAACAGTTGTACCCAACGGTAAGCTGACATCATCACGTAGTTTTAAAGTACCGTCGATCACTTCAAATCGGGGATCGTCCACTGCAAATATATGGCTGTCGTTTGCATCCGGATCAGCGACCTGGAAGATGCCTACATCGGCTCCGGGCTGCCCGGCGACAAAGCTATTGGATGACAGGCTGATTGACTCAGGCGCTTCATTAACATCCAGCACCACGATGTCCAGCTGTTGGGTGTAGCTTGCACCTTCAGGATCGGTCACAGTGATCTCAACCGTTACCGTTGTGGTTGTTTCAAAATCCAGCGCCACGTCAGCAGCCAGTTGCAGCGAGGTGCCCACAACAATAAATCTTGGGTCATTCACCACAATCACGTGAATGTCATCTGGATCCGGATCAGCTACTGCAATTGTGCCGACCACAGCACCGGCGACATTCTCCGGCACAGCGGCCGGTTCCAAGGTCAATGCAAACGGCGGGCTGTTGCCTGCGGCGGGATCGGTGCGCACAGTAGCGCTGCCGCTTGCGGAAAAATCTGCACCACTCACCTGATAACCGGCTATCGCCGTGTTGGTGACTGGTGTATCGGGCGGAATCGCCCAGAGCGGAAGACAAGTTATGCTGAAAAACAGCATCGCCAACCACGCCTTTAGCGGGCGCAGAGAAAACAGGCACGCAAACAAAGAAAACAGGGCCGGTTTACACCGACCCTGCGTTTCTGGTTCGCTTATATGCGCCGTCCTGGGCATAACTTGCGTCGAGTTACCGTCGTCTGATTAAGACGCGGTGTCGTCTACAGTTGCAAAGTAGACTATGTACCCGGTTGCACCACCATCACAGCTTGCACCCATGGAGGCGTTAACCTCACTTGGATCAGCAGCGAATGCGACACCAGCGTTTACCGAGTCGGTAGCAACTAAAGAACACTCACGTACGTAAACAAGATCGTCTACGGCAACGCCTGTGTTATCAAGATCCAGCACAACCGGAATACCATCAATGTCGACGGTAACCGTGTCAGGCAGTTCAATGCCAGCTACGGCACCGGAGTTACCCAGTTGCAGTGGTTCGGCGGCACCTGCAGGTACGTTGTCTGTAATCACAACACCGGTTGCGGCCAGCGCAGACTGATTGCTGACACCGATGACATACATCAGAACAGCACCTGGAATCGACTTAGGCTCGTTGCCTGTCGTGGTGTTTCCAGCACCTAAGTACTGGTTGCCGGAAATTGGGTCCCACAAAACCTCAACGTATTTCACGATACCCAGAACACCCACGGTGCGGAAACCCGCAGCATTGGAAGACTGACCATCGTTCTCGCCATCGGATGCACCTGTGGCTGCGGGACCGGTCACAAAGTTGAAACCTTCGTCTTCAGCAAAAGTACTGCCGTCATCAGCAAATACAACTTCAACCGTAGCCAGATCGTTCAACGCAGCAGGTACGTCAGCCACACCGGGGCTTTCGTTGGAGCTGTCGTCGTTGGCTATGACTACGCCGGTGTCAGCCACTGCTGCAACCAGGGTATAGGTCTGGTATTGCTCGGCAACAGCTGCACCGTCGACATCAACGCTCACAGAGATTGTGCGTTCTTCATCTTCGGCAAAAGTGCCTGTCAGGGTGTAAACACCTGTGGCTGAACCTAAGACGTTTTCACCGCCATCAAGCACGCCATTAGCGTTGGTATCTTCCCAGACGGTTAAGCCGGTAAGTGTTATAGGAGATGCCGCGGCTGGATCATAGCCGTCGATATCCAAAGCGCCCTGATCGATCAGAGCGATGACAACGTCGACGCTGTCATTAGAGTTGTTGACCACTGAAAACTGTACAGAGGAAGCGGTTAAACCCGCCTGCCCTGGTACGGCGCTGACCCAGTTGCCGTTAGGCGTACCAACATCAAGCCGCAGCTTACGGTCCACAACAAAGGTCACATCGGATGATGCCGTCTGCGCGGTAGCGCCGACCGTGAAGGTCATCTGCACATCGTTAGTGACCGAAGTTCCTGAGTCAGTACCATCCGCCCACGCAGACAGACTGATTCCCAATCCTGTCACGGTGAGCAGTAGCTGACTTAGTCTTTTTAAGTACTGCATTACTTCTATCCTTAAGTTATTAACTCGACAATTTCCCCAAGACTTGGAAAATCGCCTCCATTGCTTGTTTGGAAACAAGCATGCAAACGTAAGTACCGGAGACAGCTAAAGCTGCTCCGGCTACACACATCGCAAAGAGGGTCATTTCAAGCGAACATTAAAAGAGACGTAGCCGCTATCACCTGGATCAAGCGCTGGCGCAAAGGTCCAGCGAATGGAGCGATAATCTTTTGCCGACGCCAGCATCTCGACGCCATCATTGACAACGGTGAGCTCGGTCGGTGGTGCATACATCTCGCCATCAACGGAGTACCAGATCTGTGTACCTGCCCCAAAGGCAGTGCCATCCAGATATTCAGTGTGAGCTGGCACCACGTCAGTTATGACTATGGAACCGGCGTCCACCGATTGGGATCCGTTGTTGGTGAAACGCACGGTGTACTGCAGCTCGTCTCCGGGCACGACACTATTCGCGTCGACCAGGCGGCGTTCCACATCACCGTCTGCGTTAACAAAGGTTTCAACCTTTTTTATTGTGTTGTCCAGCTGTACCTGGGCATGTGCAAATCCTGCTGCACTGGCCAGAAATACGGCGAACGTTACAGTCAGCATGCGCACGGCACGCCGAGACTGATTCAGACCACAACGCACTATCTTGTCCATATTAAGATGCGTCATATCAACCTCCTGTGAGTTGCTTTGTTAAGCCCATCATTTCGATGCGCTTGAGTGGGTGCTGCCTGCCTAACGGATGGCAGCATCAAATCTAATAACGATGTCAGCAGCGCCACCTGCGACATCACCGGTTTCGACCAGCAGCGTGCTGTTGGCAGCATCAAAGCCAGAGTTATCAACGCCCGTTGGCGCAAAATCATCGTCTTCCGCAACACCTGCCACGGTAAGGGTGTCCGGCTGGTATTCGAGTTCAGCAGGCAGCACATCGCTGACCTGCACCGCTTGCGCAATACCGCTACCGACAACGCGAAGGGTTAATTCATAAGTAATCACCGAACCCGGCACGATGGTGGTGCCGCCAAACGGATCCACTACGCTGACTGCGGTTTTGTCGATCGAGAGCACCGCTTCGCTTACCTGATAGCGACCTTGTGTGCGCAGCAGAAGCGCATTGATATCTGCAGAGGTACCTACCACCGCCGTGCCACCGCCGTCGCCAAGGGTGGCGTAACTGGTACCGGGAATCGGCCAGAGTGGATCGTCCGGGTTGTCTAAACCGCCTGTTGCATCAAGGATGGTCTGAGCAATCGCTCGAATCTGGATGTCGCCGTTGTCACCTTGAACCAGGCCAGCCGGCATGTCGGACTGCACGTACAGGATCAGCGTACTGTCTTCAGCAATCAGTGGGTCCGCGCTGCCAGGGACATAAGGGGTATCCCCACCAACTTGTAATCCGGGTATGCCATTACTTTCGATGTACAGCTGGTTGAGAAGCGGGTTGAACCCTCCTTCGTTCACATCAGCATCGGCGATGATTCGATACACCTCGTTACCGTTGCCATTATTGGTAACGGTAAACTGAAGAATCGCGCCCGTGGCGCCAGCGCCCACTGCAACGGCTCCACTGTTGTCATCAACAACAACTACGTCGAGCAATTCATCAACGATGGTCTGCACCGTGTTGCTGTTAACCTGGGTCTGGGCTGCACCATTGACTGAAAACGTGGCAGTTGCGGTGTTGGAGATATTGACACCAGCGTCGGTACCAATCGCATAACTGGGGGTAGCGCCAAACAAAACACCGCAAACCAGCATAAACATGCCAACTTGCTGTCGCGTAAATCTGAATTGTGTGTTGGCAATCACTGGCCTGTTCCACCATGTCCTTCGGTAAATCAGATACTTACCGTTGTCAGCCCAGTGATCCGGTAACTGGGTCATGAACGTCAATTTGTTGGCTGCATTGACGCGTTTGACGGCAGTCTCAAGACAGCGGGGCTATTTGACCGAGGCTGGCGGGGGAAAACCGATACACGGTTCACAAATGTGCTGGTGATCAGGGCTGGAAACGGCTTTTTACAAAATTAACAATTGAGAAACGTCAATTTCCCGGCACTTTGCAGGGTGGCGACTGAGTTGACAGGTGAAGAACTGGTTATTGGCAGAAGGCTTGTGAAGTGGCGTCAAAGATCTGCGCGCAGCTCCGTCAGCGGGTTGAAGCTGCCTGGTTAGCCGTCAACCCGCTGGATATCGATGTGGTCGTTTTCAGGATAAAAACAGATTTGCGCCTCGCCACTGGCAAGTTGCTTGCGCACGCTGTTACGTTTCTGCTCCAGCGAAAATTCTACGGCGCCATAGTCTGTTCCTTCACGCAGAATGAAGGCATCGATAATGCCCTGCAGTGCTTCAGCTGAAAGGCTTCCGGCAGGAATAACGATCATGTGTGCTGGATCTCGTTAAGCGGCAAAAAAAGGCCGAGGTGGTTGTGAACAGGTCCGCATCCTGGACCACAAAACGGCCCTTTGGCTTGAGTTTTGCGTGGCATAATGCGTTACTTGGCAGCTTACAAGACTGACCAAAAACGTTCCAATAGGACTGGGAACTATGAGCGAACCTGACCACATTCTAATCGTCGAAGACGAACCGATCACCCGCGAGCAACTGGTAGCTTACTTCGAAGACGAAGGCTACAGGGTTTCCTCCACCGGGTCCGGCGATGAAGTACAGAAAATTGTCGAAAACACTGACGTTATCCTTGTTTTGCTGGACATCAAATTGCCAGGTAAAGATGGTCTCACGCTGACCCGGGAGATCCGCGCACATTCAGATATCGGCATTATTTTAGTAACCAGCAAGCAGGAGCAGATTGATCGCATCCTCGGCCTGGAGAGTGGCGCCGATGACTACGTGACAAAACCCTTTGACCCGCGCGAGCTTTTATCGCGTGCACGGAATTTGATTCGTCGCGTGCAGATTCAGCAGAAACAACGCAAACGCAATCATATGCGTACCTTTGATGGCTGGAGCCTGGATCTGAACAAGCGCGAACTGACAACCCCGGAGGGTCAGCCCATACAGCTATCCGCGGGCGAATACCAACTGCTGCTGGCCTTTATGGAACAGGCTGGCGAAGTTATGAACCGCGACCAGCTGATGAATCGAATTCGTAATCGCGAGTGGTTCCCTGACGATCGATATATCGATGTGCTGGTTGGACAGTTGCGTAAGAAGCTCGGCGAGCGCGCCGCTAACGCCAAAATTATTGCCACCATTCACGGCACCGGCTATTTGTTCACGCCTGAAGTGGTATAGCGAACCTCGGATCAGGATGAAGGCCTGCAAAGACTGTCACGATAACGGGTGTGTTAAAAAATATGTCGGCGGATCAGACGATCTATGAAAGCAACAGCACACTCGTCAGTCGTGTCGTCTGGCAGGATCAGCCGGCGGTAGCCAAGCAGCTTAAACCTGGCAGTCTGTCACCCTCCGCCATAGCGCGCTACCAGCGCGAATTTGATATTAACCAGTCCCTGACCAGCCCCTACATCTGCCAGGCGCTGAGTTACGACGACCAGAACCACACATTGTATTTTGAAGATGACCAGGCAATGTCGCTGCGCGACTACCTGAACAGGCACGACATCACTTTCGAACAGCAGCTCTCACTTGCGCAGTCAATGGCCCTGGGCCTGCAGTCCATCCACGATGAAGGCGTCATCCATCGCGACCTGAATCCCGCTAATTTTGTCGTTTTCACTGGCCAGGACGAAAAGCATGAGCTGTGCGTAAAAATCATCGACTTCGGCTTGGCGACCCTGGCCACCCATGCCCAGCCGACCATGTTACAACCCGGGTCTTTGACAGGGACCCTACCCTATGTATCACCCGAGCAGACCGGACGCGTCAATCGAGTTGTCGACTATCGAACCGATCTGTATTCGCTGGGCTGCACTTACTACGAGTTGTTTTCCAAACAGCCACCGTTCGTGCAGACCGACCCACTTGAACTGATACATGCGCATATCGCCAGTACCCCCCAACGAATTACTGAAGTCATCAGCACCCTACCCACCTGGCTGGCAGATATCATTGCCAAACTGCTGGCAAAACAACCTGAAAGTCGTTACCAGAGTGCACAGGGGGTCTATGACGACCTGGCCAAAGCAGCACAGATGTCAAATGTTGTACCGTTTCGCCTGGGTCGCACCGACAGCAAAGAAAAACTCTCAAAACCGAAAAAACTCTACGGTCGCAAAGGCAGCCAGGAAAAAATCACAGACCTGCTGGAGCGTGTTAAACAGGGAGAAGTGCTCTTCGCCTGCATCAGCGGTGGTCCTGGCATGGGCAAATCCGCACTCACGGAGTCTGCGTTACAACAAGCAGCCAACCTCAACGCGCTGACCGCAAAAGTCAACGGCAGCAGCCTCGACGTGCAGGACACAGACACCCTTTGGCTTGCGCTGATCCGCCCCATCCTCAGGCAGCTACTGAGCATGCCCGAGCACGCCAGCGAAGCAATCCTGAAACGTCTATCGCGCAAACCATCTGCTGATCTATCAGTTTTGATCGAAGACTTGCCGGAACTGGCCAGCATCGTGCACGTCAATACCGATAAACCCGGCCTGCCTGGAAGAGGCATCAGCGAAATCCTGGCGGCGATTAAACCAATGACTCTGGTATTGAGCGTAACAAACGCACACACCTTACCCCCGGAGTGTATTACTGCAGTTATTGAGGAAAGCCTTTCGCATCGCAATATTCTGGTTATTTTCGGCTGGGAAAAGGTCGATGAGGCGTTGTTCCAGGACGCTCGAATAGCCACCAAAACCACCGCAATACCTATGCATCTGCTGGACCGCGCAGATATACGAGATATGTTGTCTGACATGTTGTCGCACAGCGAAGCCAGAGTGCGTGAGCTGGCCGCAGAGATACACAACAAGACAGATGGCGTACCTGCATTTGTTCACGACCTGGTCGCTGAACTGCACCAGCAGGAGCACATCTCATATGATCGGCGCGATGGGCAATGGATCTGGGATATCGATGAGGTGCGCCGATATTTTTTCAACAGCAACTCAAATGAGAGAATCAGCGCGTTGCTGGATCAGCTACCTCCCGAAACCCGCGCGCCCATCTGCGCAGGGGCCTGTATCGGCGAAATATTTGACTTGAAGCTACTCGCCCATGTGCTCGACGATAGCATGGGTGGCGTGGCCAAACACTTACGTGCGGCAATAAGCCTGGGTATCGTGGCTATGAGCGGTGATAGCCATTATCAGTTTTCACATCCGCGCATTCGTAATCTGGCTTATGAGCGCACACCCGCCGACCTGAAACACAAATTTCACTTTTCTATTGCCGCGACGCTGAAACAGAGCAGCGAGCGCCTCAGCACGCGGGGCGCAGGGCATCTGACTCTGGATATTGCCGATCATCTTAACGCGGCAACCAACCCGGTAGACACCCCGGACGATTTACGTCAACAGAGCGCTCATCAGAATCTGCTCGCCGCACAACATTCATTGCGAGAGGGCAACTTTCGCCTGGCCTTCAAATATGCGCGCAGTGGTCTGGCGTTGCAGAACAGCGGAATCGAAGACAGTTTGTCTGTTGAACTTGCGGAGAGCGCGGCTTTAGCTGCGTTTTTATGTGGAGACTTCGAACAACTGCAACGTGTCCAGACGAGCACAACCAGTCACGCGCTGCGCGAAACACAAATACGCGCCGCCATGGTTCAGAATCGCCTGGGCCAGGTTGTTGAACTTACACAGGAAGGTCTGCAGGTCCTCAACGTGAATCTTCCTGGCACAAATCGCCGCTGGAGCAGTTGGCCAAACCGGCTACGCACAAACCTGTCCGGCATGGCAGACTCTTTCGGATTGGGCCGCTACCTGCAGGGCGGAAAGCAACTTCCTGCAGCGCCACTTGCGCCCATCAACGACCCACAGTTCAAGCAGGTTGCGCGTCTGGTAGGTTATCTTGCCCATGCAAGATTTCACCTGGGAGATATTTCTCAACCGACACAGGCACTGGCGATAGCAAGAGCCGCCAGGGGAAAAGGATATTGTGGTGAAGTGGCCTTCGCCTTTGCCATCGCCGCCGCAGACGCGCATGCTAACGGATCAAAACAACGGGCTTTGTTGCTCGCAAAACAATCCCGGTTTATTGCCGAACAATTTCCAAACGACGCTTTTTCCCTGCGCGCCTTAATAACGCTGAGCGGCCTGGTTGACCCGTGGTTTGGTAGTTTTGATCAAACGGTGCGCGGTCTGGTTGACGCTTCGACTCGCTGTATGGCTTTGCAGGACTACGAGTTTGCTGCCAGCGCAGGCGCATTTTACGCCACCAATGGTTTTCTTCGCGGACTGGAACTGGGGTCTTTGAAACGGGCCATCAACGACCAGATAAATCACGTCAATCCACACGGTCACATCACCGGGGTCAATATCCAGTATTTTGTCCTGCAGATTGTTGCCAGTCTGCTTGCCCAGCCACTGGATGAGTCTCAGGTTCGCACCCCGGCACAACAGATAAACAATGGCGAAGATCGACTTGCCCAGGCGTGCGTTTACACGTTAAGACTGTATTACGCGGTCCTGTTTAACGATTTTCGCGGCGCCCAGAATGTGCTCGAACTGGCAGAGCAGCACAGCGACGTTGTACGCACATCACCACTTCATACCCTCTACGCACTGTGTTGTGGGCTGGTGGCGGTACGCAATCAACCCGAGCGTCGCGATGCATTGCACAAAGCCCTGAAATCCCTACGCCACGCAGCCAGACATGGGGCAACTTTTGCTGAGGCGAAAGTGATGATCCTGGAAGCTGAACTTGCCCGTGTGCAGGGCCAGATGAGCCTGGCACTGGAACGTTGGGAGCGCGCAGCCGAAACCGCCAGGCGTTTGGGATTTGCAAACGACGAAGCCCTCGCCTACGAACTGGCTGCACGGGCATGCGAAACCCAGGGACGAGCCGACTTTACCAAACTGTTTGCCCGCAATGCCTACGAAGCTTATTTGCGCTGGGGCGCTGTTGCTAAAGCAAATCAGTTGGAACGTGATCTGCCCGGACTCAACGACAGAGATATGCTTGGCGCCCAAGGTGCCAGCCACCTGCCAGTCACCGATCTGGCTGACCTGACCTTACGTGATTTCCAGACACATCAGAACAGTATAGAAAGCGCTGAGTTCAGCGACCGAATTCTGGATACATCAACGGTGCTGCGCGCAGCGCAGACCATCTCAGGCGAAATTGTCCTGGACCGTGTCTTGACCAAGTTGTTAAGACTGGCATTGGAACACGCCGGCGCACAGAAAGCGTGTATGTTGTTACGTTCAGAGGGACGCTTACACGTCGAGGCAATCGCTGGTGTTGATGGTGGCGCCACCCGTCGCATCACGCCGGCGGAGCCCCTCGAACTCAGCCAGGATGTGCCCATATCGATTGTGCAGTTTGTCACCCGCACCAACAAGTCGCTGGTGCTTGCGGATGCAACTGCAGAAGACGTCTTCACCCAGGACAGCTACATTAAGCGGATGCAGCCGTTATCGGTTCTATGCCTGCCCATTATTCACCGCAGCGAAGTCACCGGCGTGCTGTATGTTGAGCATAGATGGCTGACCGGCGTATTTACCGCACAGCGCGTAGAGGTACTGTCTTTACTGGCCTCTCAGGCAGCAATCAGTATTGAAAATGCACGCCTGTATGCTGACCTGCAAAGCGCGCGAGACGAATACCGCACACTCTACGACAGTGCCATCGAAGGCCTGTTTCGAATCAATGCGGAAGGCCAGTTACTCAGTGCAAACCCAACGCTTGCCAAAATATTGGCCTTCGACACCACCGCTGACCTGTTAACAGAATACAAAGACCTGATCGACAGGGTATTCCTGAAAAAAGAACAGGCACAGCTGTTTCTCTCTGAACTCGAAGAGAAAACCCAGGTGAAGAATTTTGAGGCCCAGGGCATGACCCGCACAGGCAAAGTGTTCTGGATGGCACTGACTGCTCGCATTAATCAGGATAACGACCAGAGCAACTTCATCGACGGCTCGCTGTTTGATATCTCGGAACGCATTGAGCGGGAGCAGGCAGATAAACAAAGGCAGATTGCGGAAGCGGCGACGCTGGCCAAGAGTGAATTTCTTGCCAACATGAGCCATGAAATCCGCACCCCGATGAACGCCATTGTCGGTTTCTCAAAACTGACTCTGGACACGCAACTTGATCGCAAACAGCATGAGTATCTGACCAGTATCCGTAATGCTGGCGAAAACCTGCTCTCGCTGGTCAGCGACGTTCTGGATTTC